AATTTTTTAAAAATGGGGTGCTAATTTTTTAACGAAATTCAAGGTCGCATAGTTCTGATCAGCTTAACAGAACTATTTTGTGAATACCTAGAGTTCTTGATACATAAAAAACATTTTTGAAATATAATAAAGTTTAAAAAAAATAGTGGAAATCTTTGAAAATTTTTTTGAGAGTACCGAGTAGTTCTGAGTAGCGTTTCTTATAGTACTCGACGAGTTCTATCGAAAACTGTAAGGTGAAAAAGCGATTGGACCAACGGTTTGCAAGATACAGCGACATTTGTCAGAAGATCAACAATTTTTAAAGTGAGTATATCTCGGAAACCGTTGGTCCAATCGCTTTGAGCCCTGATACTTTTCGACAGAACTCGTCGAGAACTGTCTAGAACTCCGAACAGAACTATTCGGTACTCTCAAAAAATTTTGAATTCAAATTTTTTTCCAAGTCCCACATCGAAAATTTTTTGATTATGATCTTACAAATGTAACAAATGTCGCTGTATCTTACAAACCGTTGGTCCAATCGCTTTTTCACCTTACAGTTTTCGATACAACTCGTCGAGTACTATAAGAAACGCTACTCAGAAATACTTGGTACACTCAAAAAAATTTTCGAAGATTTCTATTATTTTTTTTAAACTTTATTATTCTTCAAAAATGTTTTTTATGTATCAAGAACTCTAGGTATTCACAAAATAGTTCTGTTAAGCTGATCAGAACTATGCGACCTTGAATTTCGTTAAAAAGTTAGCACCCCATTTTTAAAAAATTATTAAAAAATGATTATTAAGCGCATATGTCATTAAAAATCATAGAGAACTCTTCGTATCGTCAAAAAGAAGCAGGAATTATCATCAGAACTATTGTATCTAAAAATTAATTTTTCAAAAATTTTTAATTTTTTTTACATATCAGGAACTCTAGGCAATCGCAAATTGAAGCTATTAAGCCGCTCAGAACTATTCCACCTCGAAATTCGATAAAAAGTTAGCACCTCATTTTTAAAAAATGAATTATTAAAAAAATGATTATTGAGCGGAACTCTTGTTATTAACTATAAGGAACTCTTCGTCTCGTCAAAAGGAAGTGGGAACTCTAATCAGAACTCCTGAGTACTATAGTTGGGGTGCTAACTTAACATACCCTAGTGTACTGAACAATATTCTCCTGTCTTGAGAAAGTTGAAAACGTATTTGCGTTTTACGATGCAAATTCAGTAATTATATTATTATATGCATTCCGATAATATTAAGATTTTGAATATTGATGCATTTGTATTATACGAGAGCAGTTTCAAAAGTTCTCGTCCTGACATGGAGATGACACCGAAAGTATCAAATGGCTATGATTTTTCTTAAGTTTGATCCTTCTAATTGAATTATTTAATTTCAGAATAAACAGTGTACATATTAACGTATTTGCTTAATAACAAATTAAATTTAATTAAATCAAATTTGATTTCTTGAGTAAATACATAGTTTTTGTTATTATAATATACCATATATTAAATTATTGATAATAAGTAAGCAGGAGCAGTAACGGTCTATAGAAATGATTAAAATTCATTTAAGTTGAATATAATTTAACGTTATAAATTTAATGTAACATGTAATCAAATTTGTATATAAAAAATATTAAATTTTATTTTAAAAATAAAAATTGTCATCCCCCCCCTCTCTCTCTCTCACTCTCACTGAACTATTCAATTAGGAACCACTTTATAATTCGGATCATCAAGTCAGATCTTTGTTCTGAGTTCGTGTATTATCCAATTTACCTATAAATCTAATAATGTACTCTTTGCTTCCTGTTTCTTGTTTCTTAACTCTTGCCTTTTTTCTCCTTGATCGTTTTATCGACAATTATGTTTCTTAGTGTGTGACTTTTTGTCTCTTCCGAAGTTATATATATATATATATAACTCTGATCTCAAGTAACAAAAAACGAAGAAATAGGATAAGAAGTAAAAAGGCAAAAAGTAAAAGAGCAAGAAAAAAGAATCAGAGAGCACATTATAGATCAGTGCTTAAAGCCTATTTTACAATATGCTTTGTGTTTTCCGTTTCCTGCTTTTTGCTATAACTTACATTTTGTCTTTTTGCGTCTTATCCTGTTTTTTATTTTCTGTCGCTCGAGATAAAAGTTAACAAACTTCAGAGGAAAAAACAGAAAACATAAAAAATACAATTGTTGATAAAACGATCACAAAGAGGAAAAAAGCAAAAGCTAAAAAGCAAGAATCAGGAAACAAAGAGCACATTGTATAATAGAATAAACCATAAAACGAGGTCAAATGAAAGCTAGATTGCAGTATTTTCTAAAACCATGTCTTCGCGTAGATACTTACTTTTTTCGATATTAAAAATTTCTTACACTGAAATATCTTATACCAAAATCTTTCCCTTCCAAGTCTCGTCGTGTCGCGATTGTCGCGTAAAATCCTTGCAACTTTTGTACGAGATGCGAGCAGAGAACGAGGCACGTGCATGCAGCACAAATTTTGAGGTCAGCGTGTCTTGCGTCATAGCGCGATTTTTCGCTCCTCCACCGACGCGATATTTCTTCCCACGATCGCGAAGTATTATACTCTCCGTAAAACCGCATCAATTTCGAAATCGCGTCATTTTAAAATTTTTTCAAGATTCTGTATCGAGTATATCGTTCTTCCTGGGATAGATACACGAATATGATTACTTGACGTGCAAACGACGAGACAGTACAATTTCGTACACAATCTTTTAAGATCGTTTAAAAAAATTGAACATCTAAATAAATTTTCCACTTCGTGCACGAAATGAGGTGTGATGTGTAATCTTTTTAACAGTCCATCGCATTTTTCACGTACGCCTCGAAAAATCTGCCGAAATTCGACGTTGAAAAAGCATCTCGATTAAAACTCTCGACTCTCGATTCACGACGGACGTGGATCTCGTAGAAGAGCCAGAGGTCGTCGTTGCATGGTTTCTCGGTATAAAAAAACCTGTTGCTTCGGCGGCCACGCGAGTTGGCCGCGTCTCGCGCCGTCGCCGTCGTCGGCGTGTAAAACGCGAGACTTGCGGCCGGGTTCGCGGGAATCACGAAACCGTGAGCGGACGATCCGCTCGTCGAATGTAAATTGATAGAGAAGCGACTGCGAATTTACCGAAAACACGCATCGCGATATCGACGTCGCTTACACCCGCTCGACACGCGGACGCAAAATGCGTTCGTACCTGCGCCCGCACATACGGACGTGGCGATACCTATTATCGCCGTGACACGGCCGTTGACAGAATCCGAACACGACGACGAACCCTCGCGTAATCACTCACTCGGATATTTTCTTCTTTTCTCTGGTCCAGATAAACGAGCGTTCGACGGCCGAAATCGTCGGCGATCGCAGGCGCGCGCGTTACGCGGATTCCCGGCAACGGTTCCCGCAATGTCTTTTCGTACGCTATTCGACAAACGTATTTCTCAATCTCGAATTCGCTTACCGTGAATGATTAACCACGCTCGCAGCACGGACGTTGATACTTGGCGGATACAGCGAGGACGACATAACACATGCACCACGATGAACCGGCCATATTGTTTACTGAGAAGAGATCTGACATAGCGACGCAGCCGCTCGCTTCCGATGAAAAGATAACTGTGGTGCCATCTCATAAACAATTAGAAACTAGAAGCATAGTCGATATTATCAACTCGTCCACTCGCGCAGCAGGGTATCTAGTAAATCAGAATGAATAGAAGGGATAAGTGAAATGGATTCAGATTTTTCAAAAATATGCACTCGCGAATTAAAATGAATCCTTTTCATTCCGAATACATATTTTTTAAATAATAACACAAGAAGGGCTACGAGCCTAACGAATTTGTTAAATTTAATAACATGTGATAATATAAATAATCTTATAATATGTACCTTAATTAATGTGAGTCAAAAATAAAATAAAAATGTAATACATCTAATTGTAGTCAGTATAATAAAATGCAGTAAACATTTTCTTTTATAACACATTAAAAACAATATTTTTTTATAATAACTGTACGTTGAAAATGACTCACTTTCTCGTTTATTTAAAAGATCTGACCGTCGCTGAAAGTACTTCATTTTTTTAATTAGCTCTTTAATTCTTTTCTAGTAGTACATAAAATAGTATCACATTATAACATAATTATTGACCAATTAGGCATAAATTTTCATACATATATAAGTAAACAAATAATAATTACGGTTATAATATGCTGCGTATTTGAAAGGAACTAGTGATCATTTATTTTGCACTAATAGAAGTGTTCTATTGTATAACCATTCAACTACTCATTTTGTTGATCACACATCAACAAAATAAATGATTGTACGTATAAAATATTCTTTCAGTATGTTGAAACTTAATAAGCTCATTGTGGCATTAAATTTGTACTTTTATTTCAGTTTCATTAAATTTTAACAAAATGAGTAACATAAAAAAAAATATGTAGCATTTTTTACAATATAAGCTAATAAGTACATGCGCTGATACAACATCAGTCGCAACCAAATACAGGAAAGAAAGACCTGCGCACAAATAAAGCAAATAGGCGAGTGATTAAAAAACGAACCACTAATGATTCGAAATTTTGAACTTATTCGGTTTCGAATTTCTCAAATTTAAAAATTAATCAAATCTACTGTGAGATATATTACAAGGAATAATTCAATTCTATTTCAGATTTATAGTTTCTGTTATAGATTGCAACTCCTTGGAAGAAATACTGTCTTTCGTCAATGTACCAAGGATTCTAATTAAAAAACTATAGTTCGTGGGGATCAGGAAATCACTGCTATTGTGCACAATACAGTAGCTTAATCTTGAGATATTATCAATAAATAAAAAAATTAAATTATATTTTGAAAATCTGCATATGTGTATCCATACAATATATATACAAATATAATAAAGAAATAATTGCTTTTTGCCTAGAAATATTTATGATCAGTTTTAATAGATTACTGCTTTTTAATATATATATATATATATATTTTTTATAATATATACCGATTAGAAGATTCACATCTCATCCTTATTATCTTTGAACTTCTTCGTAAAGCCTTTGGAGACTAGTAACTCGTTACATTCTTCTCGAGTCAGTTTAGACAACACTAACCTTTCTACTTCCTGCAACATTTTCAGAAATTAATAGCAAGATATTATAAATATAATTCATATTAATGTCTTTATTGTTGAACCTCTTCGTGACTGTTGAACAATACAAGTTCTGGTATTGCACCTGGGATATGCTTGAATTCTACATTATCACTGCATATGTATTAAGGAGAAATAAATAACATTACTAAAAAGAATGTTTATTACTCTTTATTAATCTTTTATTTATTATTGTTTTTGAGACGTTTTATACTCTTGAACTCATTTTATATTGAAAGAGATAACTATTTTTAATGAGTTAAAATAGTTTTCTTTCAGTAAAAATTATCATATAAATGTCCAATTTTATTATATGATAAAATTGAAATACCGAATTTAATATGTACAAAATTCTAGGGTTAACAATGAAATAAGAAAGAAAAAAATGTTGAAAACGTAACATATGTTAGTGATAGGTAAAGATGTTTTTTTAACTAACTCCACGCAAAAAATTATTCAACGTGGTTTAAATTTTATGCTGAAGATATATAAATATATAAAAATAATTAATATAACATTTTAAAGGATACTATTGTGGTAGGTCCTCAAAAATAAATTGCTTGACATCCGGCAGTCGATTAAGTGAGCAACCACTACAGCTCTGAAAAACAAACATAACAATGACAATGTTATAATAATTTATATGAATCTATCTATATGAGATGCGACAATAATCTATATATTTCATTTAAAAGTACTTGTAGGATAAAACATATGGTATATGTCTTAGGGCCAATTGTTCCACCTTCGGGTAAATTTTACCTATTAGGTAAATGTGGCGATCCATGCATGTGATTGGGTATCTTGCTATTTACCTAACAGATAAAATTTACAAAAAGATGGAACAATCGGCCTATAATAATGTAAAAATATTGAGTGCAATAGTTTGAATTATAAAGTAATTACATCCTATTTATTGATTTATTTAACTCAGGCTACATTACCTCAACTCTTGCAGACATGTAATAACTATCCGTAGAATTTACGACAGAAATAATGGAAAGTATAAGTGTAAACATGAGTACGAAGGAACTAACAATTGCGATGGATGCCATGTTTGTTAATCGATGGTTTAACGTAGTTTAACGAAAAAACAGAACTAGCGGAAGATGATGGTTCCAATTTGTTATAATTGGTTTATAACGTTCTTTTTAAATTATCGATAACACACAGTTTGTTCATTTCAAGCCACGGCTGTTTTCATACGGACACAGTATACACACGAACACCTAGATGCGATAGAGACTCTAGAAAATAGATCCGGAAAATGATGTCTCCGTTCTCATTGGCTAGAAAAGGATATAACGCGACCAATTGAAACTTCCATCCAAGCGCAGCATAATTTGAATACGGTGAAACAAAAAATTAAAAAAAAAAACTTTCAATTTTCTTAATAATTAAATAGTTAAAGTTAATATATAATTAAATTATTTTATTACAACATATAAAATTATACATAGATTGTTAAAACATAAAACAAAACTACTTGACTATAGAATACTTCTTACGGAACAGAGAATTCTAATTATAACTCATTTCTAGAAAAAATCTGTTCCGTCGATCCAATTATCGATCCAGCTGCGTGTAAAGAAAATAAAACTACTGCTTCGTCGTTTCACCTATGTTTTGTTCTTCCAACTCTTTGATTCTTCTTGAACGTTCATGAACAATATGCTCCAAGTTGTTATAAAACTCCGAATTTGCGGCAAAAAGACGTTTGAAATCACGACGATGCAAGCGAAGCAGCTCGCACACTTCTAAAGCGATAACTGATTCTTCTCTGCGTTGATTCGGATAAATCAAGCCAGCTTCACCAAAGTGATCACCATCATGAAGATGACATATCTTTAAAAAATATATCTTATTGCTTATAACTATAATTTTGATAAAATTTCCGATCGATGGATCCCCCTTGACCTTTATATAATATATATATATTGTCGAGTTCATGATCCTGGGTGCAAATTGGATATTTGCGTTGCACATTCTTCCATTATTTTCACAATAATTGCTATCAATAAAAAGATGACTATTGTCTAACTTATTTATTTTTGTTTTTTTAATATATATATTTTTCTAATACTATAAACAAGAAAACTGAAATTGAATCTAAAACCAGCGACCATATAAGACGATATAGTCACTCACAATTTTTCTTTAATTTAAATTGCCGAGTTGAGTTTTTATCTGGATTAAAAACCTAACTTAACCAGTTTTCACAGATAAATTAATGTATAAACAGGGGACGTATCAAATGCTTAATCCGCCGCACCAACTTATTGATACGTGTACCGAACAATTTAACGGTGTAAAGGAGGTCATGGTAGAAAAGACACATCATTAAAAACAATTTTTTTTGTTAATAAAATTTTAACAAATAACAAGCGATGGCCAAAAATTGTTGGAGGTCATACAGGGTCATGATATTACACATGTCCAAGATCAAGATTATCGAAGAGGGGGTCGGCCCTGATCGGAAATTTTACCGAAATTTCAAATAAAGCATAAATATGGATAAAACGGGGCTTTTTTGTCTATTTCTCACGATTGTTTTTATTTCTGAACAGCATCTGAACATTTGTAGATCGTAGGTATATACTTTTGTGCTTTAAGAAGCAGTCATCATTGTATAAGGTAGTTATTAGATAATGTTAATGCAAAAAGATATATTGTTTGTTTGCAAGTCGACAGAATAGCCCCTCTGTACCCTAAATTTTTTCTATATAAATATTTTTAGTTACTTCTTTTCCGGAAAAAGTGATCAATGCAACAGTTCCACTAGCTATAAAATACATACATTCGCCTTCAATACTGACTTTGTAAATTACATCACCCTTAAGATATATTACTGGCTTCAATGAATCTACGATAAATCAGTCTATCATTAAAATCAAAATCATCAGCTTTTGAAACAAAATTTCAATATGGCGTTAGTCTCTGAATAAGTTGAGCGCAGTTGAGATTGTCATATACAATTAGCACAGAAAAGCATTAAGGTGTCTTGCTAATGTAGTATCAATTAGTAAAACTATAATAATAGTATAATAGTATAATAATAGTATTATACTAGTATATATAGCTAAGCTATAGTAGAACTAAATATTATTATTAATACAAGAAATAAAACATTACTTATTAAATCACCAAGAACATTACGAGGTAAATTGCGAAAAATCGTGATATCTAACAATCTTTGGCTACCATGGAACAGAATTTCTTGATTTAAATGACCTAAGAGAATATTGGAAAATATAAGAGAGAAATATATACTTTATCAGCTTATGTTTTTAACATTTTAAAAATTAGATAACAATTCAATCTTCTTATTCATTCTCTTTGTTTTTAACTAACCCGAAACAGTATCGGATATAATATTCTCTTTGAAGAAAGAATCATAGTAACGATACTTGTAATAGAAAATCAGTTTATTTTGTAAATGTAGCGGAAGCTTCTTCTGATGAATGTATTCTTTTACTTCGTGTATGATTCGTTGATATTTGAGTTTTGGTTTTGCAGACGATTCCAAAAGTTGTAGGATCGTAACTGTGATCATAAGAACTCTCTTACCATCGAGTTAATATTTATTTTATTTATATTTGTGTAATGGATAAATGTAACATTATTTTAAGGGGATGCTAGAGTAACCAATTTGTGGGAACATTGCAGATTAATATAATTTATATACTATGTATATATATATATATATAATTGACTTACATCAGGTTTGGTTGTCGCTCCAGCATCCCCTTAATAAAAATAAAAAATTGCTATGGAATGCAATATTAAAAATTTAACATTAAAAAATGTTTTATAATACCAATCAAATAAATTATGTAGCCTTTTCCCAAAAGAAGAAATATGCATCTTATTATTGTGTCCAAAATACCAAAGCTTCCGAATTCTACAAAATTGGAACCAATAAAGTTACTTATGCCGATATGCACAAATATTAAATAAACTTCCCAGTCAGATACATCATCAAGTTTCGTCAATGCATCTGAATTCTGAAATTCCGTATTAATAGGAAGATAGCGTATTACTGTTCATTTATTTCGTATTTTAAAATAATTAAAAAATGTTCTTAACAGATTAATTTACTTATAGAAATCACCATACTTCCATTGTTTTTCCTTGTACATGCATAACGATATATGGAAAGACATAACTTATACAACTAGTCCAATGAAAAATTATTAGTGTTAAAATGATGAACCATATTGTTACGTGGTGAACTTGAGAAATCCCAAAACTCTAATTAAAAAAATAATACAAATTTATTTATTTATATAAAATTCAAAACATTATTATTTAAGGGAATGCTGGAGCCGCCCGTATTACCGATAAAATTAGCGTTTTTGACGTTTTCGTTTCTATTCTATGAATTATTACGAAGAAATGGGATAAGAACGAAAACATGAAAAACGCTATTTTTATCGATAATACAAACGGCTTCAGCGTTACCTTAAACATTATATTATTTAAATGATAATTATATAATTATAAATTACTGTATTGATGTGTTGAACATTTCGTCGTACAGTAGATATGCGAATCAATTTTAAAATAGGCAAGAATTCGAGGATAAGTAGTATAGAATTTGAATTTGGACCAGGCGGTAAGATAAGTGTTGGATAAAGCCACATGTATGGTACTGAGCTGATAAAGTCAATGAAGAAGTATCCCTTTATATAACGTCTGTTTAAATATGTAATTATTACAGTTCTCACTTTATATATTTTATTAAATAAAGTAGATGATAGTGAGCAATCATTAATTCATTAATTAAATTTCCAGACAATACCATGTAACTTAAAGATAACATTATATAACAAAAACACATCATTTAAAGATCTGTCAGACATCATACCGTAAGACATTTTTAAGATGTCTTACATCACAATTTTTGGAGACATACGTGCTGTCTGGACCGTATATTATCATGACACAATCACCGTGCTATTAGAGTAGTATCAAGAAAAATCTCATGTCCATCTGGAGATACAAATCCAGTAATAAAATTCAGAAAAATATCGATAATACAAACAGCGTAAGTCGGATACACGATATTCCAATATTCAGGACCGCTGCTCTTTCCAATTCTGTAGAAGCATATAATATGCGGAACTGTTATGAAAATATATAACAAGGTCACAGTCATTATTGTGTCCCAGTAGAACCTGTGATAAGGTATTTTCTTTTACCTTTGTGTTCACGAAAGAGTCAAAGTTGATTTCTTAAATTTTTATACCTTAACATACTACATGGATGAATCGTCCATCGATGAGGTGATCTTGAATGTCTTTTCTTTTCAAAAGCAACAGCTGTTTGGCTGCGCAAAATTGAACCTGTTAAAGGATGTCGAGTAGAAACAAGAACAAGCTTCTGAAGATTTCGTTTCCATCGATTGTAGAATCTCGCATTTGGGGGTAATTTTGGAAGATTGCTGCCGGATGTCCTCGGCAAGTCGCATATATGTATGCGTAAATTCGTTCGTTTCATCAAGATATTCGAGTCTCGAATTGTATTGACGCTGGTTGACTTGTCAATTGCTGTCAACGATAGTAGCAAGATAAGACGATCGCTTAAGAATTAAGGATGTAGGGCGTGTTTTTTAATTCACCGATTGATCAGTTTTACGTGTTGCTATCGACGTAAGAATATAACGTATGGACTTAGCAACTTTTATATGAAGATGGTACATGTGGAGTTACAAAAAAAACAAATGAAGAAATTCAAGCCTCTCGTGAAAACCTAGAAACAACGCAAATGGCAATTATTTCAACGCAGTTGCTGACAGCGATTTGTAGACAACATGGGATTCATGAAAGAGAATTTAAATTGTGATAACAAGAGTGAAATTAAACTCCGTTATAAAAAATATTCTCATTAATTTTATCACATCTTATCAAATCGCAAAATCAATATTACTGGTATATAAAGAAGATCAAGAGAAACTTCACTCTATGGAAAATAATAGCGGAGATCTTCGAAGGGAAGAGAAAACATCGAATTCAATACTATCGGCAAAAAAAACAAAGAACCTATAAGGTAGTAATTGTGATGCAGAAAACTACCTTCCTTGGATTGCAAAATGTTGTAAAATGCGTCAACGTGTATTTGAAACATTAGAAACTCTGTCTAATGTCAATAAATGTGCGCAATATTTAATTAAAGAAATGCCAGGGGAGACGTGAAGGCGACTTGTTTTGACATGCCATACCTTCCCACTTATTATCATAATTTCTTTAGGAGGCCCGTACACACTTTCTATAACAATAATCGTAAGATGTATCATATAAATTAGCAAATTAGTCAAGAATCAGTCGATTAATAAACAATTTTCAAAAACTTTCAGCTCTGATTGGTTAACTGTTACAGCACATCTTATGATTATTATTATTATGGAAAGTGTATGGACCTCTTACCGCTTACAAACCCTAGCACATAGAAATACTTAAAATATAAGATTTAAAACACACACACATATATATATATATATCCTTTTTACAAATAAATTTTTATATAAGTTTCTCTTTCAACAGTCTTATGATACAACTCGGTATATGGATTATTTGGCGGATCATCCTGAAATAAAGCAGCTAATCGCGGATTATATCCAGATTCTTCTTGTCGGTAATTAATTCATTTACTAGATAAACTTTGTTCAATATTCGACAAGTAGTATTTAATTTTTCATTATCAATTTTTTTTCAGTAAAACCTGTTAATGTCGTAGATTTCACGATACAGCACTTCAAAGCATTTGCCCGAAAATTGAAGGTCTAGAACACCATCGATATACTGGCAATGCAATCTGATATTGACGTAAGTCGATATCTGTCAAGAGACTAATCTGACCCTGTGGCTTTTGCAAGATCTGTATGAAAAATATAAAATTTACAATTTAATAAATTATTGTTTTGATAACATAAATAAAGTTCATAAAAGTTTGTGTGTGTGTGTGTGTGTGTGTGTGTGTGAGAGATTTATTCATAAAATAGTTTATAAAAGTTAATAGCTATGTATATTTTTTCTTATCTTTTTTTACAAATATATCTATATTAATTCAAAGCTATAAACAAAAAAATGGAATATACGTAATTCATAAAAAATAATAATAAGCCTAAAAGGCTCATAGCTCTGTTTCTTCTTATTATTTTTTAATTTTATTGAGCCTTATTATAATTATATAGTAATTCATAAAATGCAATATTACTAATTTTATCAAGCAATAAAACTTCAAAAGAGCAAGGACTTTCATTAATTAATTCACAAAAATTTTTTCTTTTTTTTTTTCCAATCATTTACACTTATATCAAATTATATAACATTAAAAGCAAAAATTCATTATAAGTTTTATTCTTGCATTATACAATACATATACTGAAAATTAAATTTTTTATAGTATATTAGTTATACGTACACTTCCATGCAATCACATCTAAATTAAAACTTATGTTTTAGAAATAATTTTAATTTATTATAAAAAATTTATTATACAATACAACATAATCTAAACTACACCAAGATACTCGACTGAAATATACATAGTATTAATTTATATAGAGTTTTCGATATTGCACATGTTGCGTAATGAAGTATTTTACCTTTATCATTTTCTTCCAGGTGTTATTTCTTTTTGCGAATTGCATATCACACAATTTTCCTAAAATTTAAGAATACTATAGTAATTTATAAATAACAAAATAAAATCAATATAGACGAAATACTATACGTACAACCAAATCGAAATTAGGTAGACAATCTTCGTGAAAACAATGCTTACAATAAAATACAACTATATTTCGTGGCTCTAGAAAAAAAAAAGTGAGTTATAATTATGTAATTAGAATTATAAGTAATTAAAAAACCAGTTACTTATAAATACCTCTTACAATTATTTTCCTATGGCAAGCTCCACACATTTGATCATCTGTAAAGAAAAAAAATCAATGATAGTCTGATCATAAAGAATAGTTAAATTAGATGTCACAAAGAACAGCTTGCTGTATGATCCAGAAATATGCAAACCGCAGCCCGCGAGCCGCATGCAGCAAATTAATTTTTTGCGGCCCGCCGGCTCATCATAAAAAATACTAAATGATATTTTCTATTTTATGTAAACGATCCAAACAATAACATTATGCATAACAATTTAACAGATTCATTTAATTATATAAATATTTTTTAAAATCTTTAAAAATTTATAATAAGAGAAATGTAACTTATATTATAAATATCATAAATAAATGTTTGTAAAACATTCGATTTTTAAAAATTATTTTAATATTTTTATTCCTAATGTTATTTGTTAAAATTCCTTATGTTGATTGTAAAGATAAAATTAAAATAATTTTTGTAGTTATTTTTGCACAAAGTGTATAGTTGTGTAAAAAGTTAAAAACAATCATCAAAATGAATAATTAGAAAAATATACATTTATAATTTTCTTATTTATATTATAATGTTTTTAACTATTAATTTTATACATAATATATTTATATATGGGGCATCTTTTTTTCTTTGTTAAATTAGCTGCAGCAAATTAGATGTAGAAAAACCACCTTGCATACAAACATAAGGTCTGTTTTTTATTGCTGCACTCTCCAAACGTGTGCATACGGTGCAATAAGTTGAAACAAATATACGAAACGATATCAGTATTTGTTTTTCTACTTTTCATAAAGTTCTTAATGCAAATATGTATTCCTTTTTTTAATATTAAGTATCTGATCTTAATTATCTATATAAAATTAATTTTTTAACGACAAAGCCGCTTATGTATAAGATTATATATCCTCAATAAATGGACTGAGTGTCTACATTGTAGAAGATGACAACCTTGTTTTTGATTTTTAGAATCAATGATTCTATAAAATTGCATACCATCGATAAATATGCCATTTTGATGGCAACGAACAAGTCGTTCGTGAAGATTGAAATAATCGTTAGACAGTATTTTTTTGCAACCTTCCTGCACAGACACCTGCAGATTGTAATCGCACATCATTTTAACTAATGCTTTTTTTAAGCCTGGAATTTCCAAAGTAGGTTCTATTCTTTGCACCATAAGCCTAGGATCAACATAAGTGCCAATTTTTTGAAGAAGGAATGTAATAGCCGCTGAAATATATAAAAATTTATTTTGAATTAAACTTTATTTAAATTTTTTATTGAATTTAAACTTTATGGAAACTTTAAATTTTCTTTTTAAAATGCTCTTTAAGGTCACGATTTGATCCATACCAGGTTTGTCAAGTGAGTAATTAATTAGATCGTTCCATAACTCTTCATCATCATGTTCTTGACAAAATACAATTGCACTTTCCATGTCGTTGAGTTCTCTTGTCATGAGCGCTAAAGCTTCTGAAGTGTTTCCAATTCTACCTAACAGATACACCATTTCTGGATAAAATCGACGTTGGTTACAAATATCCAGAGCCTGTTGTATCGGATAATTATCAGAGCGACGTAAAAGCGGTAATAACTTATCTCTCGAATAGTCGGCATACAATCGTACCAAAAGACCATGGTACTTTCCCTTTGAATCCTTCGTGTCTCTCTTATCTAATGCATCTAGATACTGAAAAGGAACAAATTATATAGTTAAATCATTATTAAATTAAATCCCTAATATTCTAGTTTGTTAAATCCCTATTTTTAATAAAACATACACATGTGCGTGCACATAACACAACAAAATTATAAACATCATAAATATTACGATTGAATTACAAGATATTAAATATTATTTGTAAATACATGCATTCTCTTGCATGAAAATTGTGTTACATTGATTCTAAATATAAATAACGATTACCAAATATAAATAACGATGATTATGTTGCAATTTTTGTACAACAATGTCAGACGGTACTCTGTCCTTTTCTAGAAAAAATTGTATGGCACGTTCTGTGTCCAGATCCATCAAACCTTCGATCATGTCGTATACCGAATTATACAACTGATACTTTTGGATCAATTGGAAAACATCCTTGTGCCGCAGTTTCAAATACATAGCCAGCGCTTTATCGTATTTGCCGTCGTGGATGTATAAAATGGCTAACGCTTCTAGTAATACGTTCTGTCGTTGATTGTGAACCAGTAAATGTTCCAATACGCCATTTACTACCGCCGCCACTGTATATAAATTTGGAGACCATTCTTTGACCAATTGTAAAAAACCGTCGGGATCCATTTTTAGATATTCATATAGCACCATTTCATAGATAAATGGATCGAGAATAACATCACCCCGAGGCAAATAGGATGAAATTGAACGCAACTGATGGACTCTAGCAAATTTGTAAACCTGTCTCGTGGGAAGAAAGAAGGCATACATCAGACCAAAGCAAAAAAATTGATAGACACAAACTTAAACTGCAAACAACCGTTTTTCAAAATAAATAATGCAATCATTTTGCAACATAAATATTTTTTACCTCTTCCTCCCATAATTTTTTATTTCGACCTAAAACTTTGAGACAAAGTTTTCCAGCTTCATCGTATTTTCCACATGCTAATAAATGATCCAAATAAATACGTCCAACATCTAATACAGTATGCCTCTTGCAATCTTTGCCATTATTTGCTGTTACAGCTTCTAAAGCTTGTTCAAATTTTCTGTGGCTTAATAGCCATTCAATTCTGTCGTCTGTATCATATAAACTAGCCACTACAATATCCTTCGGGCTAACAATGAAAAATCTGTAAAGAATTTTCCTATATGCAGAATAGATCAAGAACATTTTTAACTCTTTGATACAAAAAACATAATTAAATTAAAAAAATATATATATTTTTCAAAGTTCTTAAAAATGAGAAAATATAATTGAATTCAGATTTTTGTTTTACATCTTTAATATCAGATAAATGTATTCATAATTTGTGAATTATTGTGTGTGTATCACATTAATATTCTAGAAAAATAATGTTTATTAAAATTAATTTTTAGTGTATTTAAAAATTATCTTTTATGGTTGATATTTAATTTATTTTAATATCTTATTAAAAATAAGATCTTTAAACAAGTTGCTATTGTCACTTCATACTATTACTACCTTTAAGAAATACATAAATTGAAGAATAAGAGGAATCGAATTTGAAATCAGCCAACTATGAATTAACCATTCTCACATAAAACCATGCATTATCTCTCAAATTCATTTTAATATAACAATTTTATGATATTGATTTTATTTTTACCTGTTTTCTTCTTTTAAACAATCCAAATGATAATCATTGCAGCTATATTCCTTGTAGCCACGTAAGGTAAGAGAATTTGCACATATTACTGAGAAATCTTGATATTTTGGTTCAACCACATGTAGAGTCGGACGTTGATTCTTTCCATCTTCATCTGGTTCCTTTAGGCAACCCAATAATATTAACTGATTCTTCAATGGTGCTATACCAGATATATAAAAATCTACTTGAAATGTTGACACTAAAAATAAAATGTAATTAATTATGATGTAATGATTCAAGTAATGATTCTTCTAAATTCTAAATGTCTACTAAAAGCATGATTTCAATTTTTAGTAGTTTTGTACTATTACTTCGTCATTAAAAGCATAAAGTGTATTTTAAAACACATGTATTATAAAAGCGGTCTATTTCTTTGTACATAAAATTTATGTATTAATAATCACTCAATAGCGATAATATTGTAAGATTAAAAAATACAAAATGTTGAATAAACCAACAATTTGTTTCATAAACACTGTAAATGCAGATGATCTCGAATTTATGCTGACAAATATATTCTATTTCTTCACAATGTTTCTTCAAAGAAAAACTATTCACAATTATATTCATTTGTATATATTTTATTCATAATTGTTCATTCTTGTTAATTTAGTATAGTTCTCATTCTAATACTTCCACATTAAAAAGTACCTTCAAAAAGGATAAGTAAACTTTATCGATTACCTGGATCCACTACAAATTCAGGCAAATCACGATTGACCATTTCTTGCATAGTACGTTTCCTAATATGACAAATACGGACAATGTCTACCCATCCAATCAATAGCGTCTTGTCGTCTGACCACTCCAAATTGCACCTGTAGTGTTCTGGTGATGCCCTGCATGAAATAATATACAAAGTCACATGAAATATAATATATAAAATGATTTAAAAAATTTCTGTTCTAAATATGTATTACATTTAGATCATGTTTAACAATTCCTTTAAGGCTCAGTTAGGCTGCATTGTTCCATCTTTCGGTAAACTTCAGCTGACTGTCCTATTATTCATTCTAATTATATATATAAAAAATACATAAATTATATGCGTGCGTGTAAAATTTTATATGTATATTTTAAATATACATATAAAATTGGAATCTATACATATTGCACATGTATATAAATATACATGCATATGTGTACATACAATTTATGTATTTTTATTGTTAAATATGTTATGAATAATAATATCTTATAATATCAGTAATAGAATACTTTTAAACTTTTGAAATAGAATACTTTTAGTGACTGATACAGATAAAAAACGATTTCAGATTATAGTGTTATCCCTGAGACTGAGCGTTGAATGTTATGATAAAACAGCAATAAAGTGAAGAGTACGAACGGTAATAGACATAAATACATACACAACTCAACTTCAAACCAAAAGGACCTAATCTGGACAGCTCTGCAATAAATAAATTTATCACATAACACCTGTTCCTTTTAGCTAAACTTCTTGCAAGGTTCATTTTTTCTCTTTTTCTGTTCAATGTGGAGATAAAAGAAAGAAAGATGAACCGTACAAGAACTTTAGGTAAAAAGAACAGATCTATAGTTTATCTGAAGGTGAAACAACTGGCCTCAAGAAATACAAATGGTAAATAATTTCCAGACATTCATTTGTTCTATTCATAGTTCTCTTAGCAAAATTTATTTAATTTTGCAACATCTATAAATATTGTACAGAACTGGGTATATATATTCGAAATACTTTTATTTTCAATACAGTATTTATAATACAATTGTATTTTATATTTTGTATTTTAGTGTAGCACAAAAGTCTTTTTTGCATTTTGTACATTAAATAAAAAAATTAAAAATATTTTGTATTTTATAATTTAAATTAAAAAATTAAAATTGTCAATTTTAGCATTTGAAATATAATACTCGCCACACTCACGTACGCACGCACGTACGCGCGCGCGCATACACACATATTTCAGTTTTTCACTTCAAAATACTGAAATGTAAAATACAAAATACTTTTATATGCTCTATACTGAAATACAAAATACAAGTACTATTTTTCAAATAAAAGTATTTCAAATACATACATGTCCAGCTCTAATTGTATATACACTTTTCTGCAATGCTTACTCTGCGGTACAAGACCATTTAATAAGTCCCAATGAGCATCTAGCATCTAGATCATAGACTCTCACGCCAGTGTCAGAAGCCCATGCAACAAAGTGACCAAACCATGCAACAGATCTGACTCCACCTTCTGCTTCACAAAGCACTGTTGGCTTCATTCTGGCCAAAAAAGTTTTCTCATAAAGTATTAGTTTGTCATCACCTATGGATTGCAAATATTTATTTATTTATTAAAAATTAAAGTTTATATTTCAAAAATTAATTTAATTATAAATTTCAAAATATCATATCATGTATGCTATAAAAATTTAAGAAGTTAAAGAGATTAAACCTGTAATAAATCTTCTGCCATTACCACTCTTATAATTTGGATCAATTGCTATACTCTTGACTAGTCTACCCATGTTCATATTATGATTGTTTTCTGTACTATACAGTCCATAAATAAAAACCTTTCCATCATCACTGCAAGAGGCGATAAAATCTCCGTTATAGTCTATGGATATCTGATTGACTGCTACTGTATGTGCCTGTAGCATTTTAGATTTAATATTGTTTCCCTGATGATCTAAAAGATGGATCATTCCCCAATGTGATCCCAGACAAAGAAACTAGATCAAAAAAAGATAAAATTAATTTAAAAAATTAATATCTTGCTTTTTTATTCATAAACTTAAAATAGTAATTGTAGAGTTTGGCTTTTTTATCTCCAATGTTGATAAAATTAGGCTTATTTGACATGTTTTTGCGTAAATTAAATAAATCTGGTAAAAAAGTGTCACTGTATCCCATGGACCAAAATATTGATTATTAAAGTTGACAACTCGGTTTAAAAAACATGTAACATCGATGATAGAGAGGAGAAGGAAAAGGACATATGAATGAGGCTGAGAATAAGTATTTTTTGCTTCATTAATACAAATTCTCTGCTTGAGAAATACTAATTCCATTAAAAATAAATTATTTTCTATATATATTTTATTTTACAACAAAGAATTTGTTATGGTTAGATATTTATCTGCTTTGAAAACACAAATTCTCTGCTTCAAAAACAAATTCTCTAATGCAAAAACAAATATTATATAAAAAATAATTTGTATTTTTAAAGCAGAAAATTTGTTTTTAAAGTAGAGAATTTGAATAACCTTCTATGCGCTCCATCACAATGTGACAGATTTTCTAACCTGAGTCTGTCAACTTGTATCAATTAATATCGTAGTTGTAAGGCAGAGCAACACTTTTCTGTCAGATTTGTTCATTTCATGAAAAATGTATCGAATGAGCCTAAGTTTGCCAACATTGAAGATAAGGAGGTTAAACTTAACAATTATTGATAAAACAATTTAATATACTTTAAAATTAAACTTCTACTCATATAGTGATTCCTACTTTTGGATGTACAGCAATGCAGCTAGCTGCGTCATTTTGCAGAATATGTTCCAAATCATTACGTATCCTAACATATTTTAATCGAGGTTCAATTTCATCCATTTCTGAAGAATCTGAATCTTCCTGATTATTTTGTTCATCCTACAATCGTAGTTTTCTATTAGAAACTATCCATCGTTCCATATAAATGTATATTTTAATGATTATTATTAATATTATTATTCCTTATATTACACAAAAGATTATTAAGTAAAATAACTTTAAAATAAAATTCTTAAAAAATTGCTAAAACTAAAAAATATAATTTGAGAAATGAATGAAGAAATTCATAATCTAAAATAATTTTAAGAAATAATATTATTTACACTATAATATAAAAATGCAAACAAATAGTACAATACAAACACTAAGTGCTCAACATAACGCAATGATAAACGTCTTGTGAGAGTTAAGAAAGGAACCTAATAAATCGCGATGATACTTACTTTATTAGACGTAGATTCCATTTCTGCTTCTCAATCTTTATAGACACAATCGATACAATATAACGAGTTAAGGAATATTGTCAAAATTGGTTTTTTCGATAAAAATAAAATAAGGTGAGGTTAACTTATATAAAAGTTTTTGGGGTTACTGCTACTGCTGCTGCAGCCAGTGGCTGCGTTCAGCAGAAAAAGTACCTTTGCAACTGTTGTAAAATCTTTAATACAATTAAGATTGGTCATGCCCTTAGTTCCTGACTGGATCTAAATGTATAAACCAATCATATTCAAGAATTTTACAATATTTTAATATAAGTTGCGCTTCTCTATATATGTAGGACTCTAGAGGTCTGTTTTCTGTGGCTGAACTAGTGTACACTTTTAGAACTTAAAGTGAGATAGGTATATACTTTGATACTTGTCGAAAGCGAGAAAGAGAGTTCTAGTTCAGTCTTCAGCTAGTGTAGGAACAGAAAACAAATCAAGGTTATGCGTTGTTCGATTCAAAGAGGATTTTTGCCTCTTTGGTTCGATTTATCTATATTTATCGTGTGTTGTTGCCGCTGGTAACTAAGCTCAGTGATTATTAGAAATAATAATGTAAAATTTAATTCTATTAAAAGTGTTAATTGATATTAACGTATGTTCACATAATTATATTAATTTTATTTTGTATATAATCGTTAATCCTTAAAGTACATTCTTATCTTTATTTATAGAACGTGAGGTTCTTTTGTTTGAAGTTGTGTGTCCAGAGAAGTACAGAAACTCTAAATATTTCATCAAAATGTTTAATGGCACAAATTCAATGGATTCATTAAATTCCATCAATACAAGATCTTCCAGGGAACGTAAAAATTGCTTAAAGCATGCCTTGGAACGAACATCAATTTTACGTAAAAAAATTGTTTTATCTTTCTGTTTTTTCTATCTAATATACAATCAATTAATCAAAGTAAGTATTTTCTAGAAGAGGTAATCAACGATTCCACAATAAATAAACTGGATGAAGCCATAAACTTAGTTGATGATGTTACTTATGCAACGAGTATACAAGAAAAAGGTATAGAGAAAGCTTTATGTTATATTTTATACATTTATACAATGTTATACTCGTATGTAAATATGTACAGTTTTATTCTGTAAAATAAAGTTCGTAAAAATTTGTATAAGATAAACTTCAAGACTAATTTCAATATAATGTGTATAAGATAACTGTATACAATATTTATACACTTTTTTTATATATGTTTAATGCATAATATAAAATATATGTATAATATATATGTTCATACTGTAAATCATTAAAACAAAGGATACTTTTGATTTTCACACTTACACACTATCAAATATTAAATGGCAAATAATGTGCAATATTTTAATTACTTTATAAGTGCAGTAAATCTAAGACGTAACACTCATAATATTATCATTTTAAAAAATTAGAAAATTTTTAGAGTATTTATACAGGATATTTAGAGATTCAACTGATAAACTTTTATCGGGATTAACTAAAAGGATTATTTTTTGCAAATGGATCTAGAGTCAGAAGCTTGTCGTTTCATTGCAATATTGTAGAGTATAAAAAGATCTATTTACTAACCTTATGAAATTGACCTTGGGAACTCTAGGCTATTTACAAAAAATTTATTTTTTGGTACCCTTGACAATCTCTGAAAGTTTATCAGTTAAATTTTCAAATGTCCTATGTGAGTGTGTGTATGCGTACATTTTGTTTATATTTTTAGTTTCCAATCAACAGGAAGTTCTTATTGATTCACAAATGATGACATCATCATCTAAAGTTCTAAAAACCTGTAGTATCTCATTGACGAAAAGAATGCGTGACTATGATCATATCAATTTTTCACAAAAATTGGTAAATTTGTTAAAAATTATAATTATATTTATATTTAGTTATTTATCGCTTATTTTTGTCTATGTAATTTAATTTTAATCTCGATTTAACTAACTCTTTATCTTATTCTATTTTAAACATTAAAAACAGATAGGGTAAATTAAATTGGGATTAAAAGTTAATCTTTCTCTTTTCTCTCTATTAAACTAATCTATGCATTAATAGAAACAGACATATATTATAGCCATATTCTAATATACATTACCAGTACTGAAATTTTAGGCATATTCTACAATAAACCATTTGTAATATAATATATCAGAAGTTAGATAGAAATTGACCTGTCCCAATTAATTATGGGTCAATTTCTAACTTCTAACTCCTGATTTATTACTAATTATAGAATATTTACAACATATATAACATGAACTATAGATTCTCGGTACTGGCGATATTTATTAGAACATAGTTATTGAAATTGTTCATAAAGTATTACATATGTTGTTACTTTAAGTAGCTTTATTTTATTATTTTTACATTTTATTATCAAATATCTGTTATTGCTTATTAGTGCTTTCTAAGTAACACAGTGTGATAAAGTTATGATCATCTTTGACATTACCAAACAAAAATTTAACAGTTTACTGTATTATATTGTGTCTCTTGCTAGAAAGCACACTATATTTATATGTTATTTAGGTAAAATATTTGCAAGAAGCATCAAATGATGATTCACAGTCTCCAAACTGGTCACTTTTAGAAAGACGAGTGACAAAATTGTTCAAAAGGGTTGCTAATAGTAGCACACTATTAGGTTTGTTTAAATAAATGTTAATATTTTTTTTTATAGATATATATTTTTTCTTTTTAAATATTCTTTCATAGATATACTATCAAGTTATTTTAAGTTTATTATACTGCTTTCATATTCAAGAATCTAATCAAATTTTTGTACTTTTTATTATTTCAGGTACATTGGATCCTCTTGAGAAGAAGACAATAATTAGGAAGAAACCGGAACAGAAAGTAGCACAATTTGCAGTGACTGTACCTGATAAATTGGTGCCAAGTGGAAACACGAAGGATGAAGACAGTGTGGAACGTACTGTAAGGAAGATTAAAAAATTAATTACATGTTATTGTAAGGAAGCGGGGAAACCACTCGATTTCTTTCAACTGATTTTGCATCCTGATGATTTTGGAAGAACTATTAGAAATATGTTATACATATCGTTTCTCATAAAAGATGGAGTAGTGAAATTGAAAAAAGGTATCTTCTTATTTTTTTTAAGTAGTTCTATCACCTTATTTATTACAAAAAATAATCTTTTTTATCACAGATGAAAGAAGTCTTGTTGTGGAACCATGTCGCAAGGAAGTAAATTCACAAGAAAAACGATCTAGCAATAAAACAGGCATTCAGAATGTCATCTCATTAAATATGGAACAATGGAGAGTAAGTTGAATCCTTAAAAAAATTCTCTATAATTTTTTAATTAAATCAGATTTCAGTTTTAGTAGATAAGATTCTTTACTATTTTTTTAGTTTTGCATATATAAAAGCTATTTTATAAACTTTTAGTTATATATGGTATATTCTGTAACTAATTAAATCAAAGATATATTAAGAATATTAGAATTGTAGAAAAAATATTACAAATTAAAATTACAAAAATTCATAAAATTTTCTTTTTTTAGATATTGAAAAAGGCATATAGATTGGAACAACCGATGATTAATTTTGACGAAGAAAAATAATTATGATTAGGAATATGCTTTCCTCTTACCAATACAAAAAAAGAATATGATTTTATTAAATTTACTTATATATTTATGGTATTGTATTAGATTTTAAATAACATATTGGATTATTTTGTCATCTATTAAATTGAAAATTATTAAAAAATATATTTTCGATATTTTTTTAAAACTTAATATCTAACGTATATATTGTGATTTTATGGTATTAATTCGCAATATATAATTTTCGTGTGATTTATATACTGATATATGTAGTCTTTTTAAACTGCGCGCAGAACAATTGTCGGTCTTGAAACGCAACTCTAATAAATTACCGTAGTATATCACGAATTAAATTAACAATTTAAAAATTATTTGATGCGCTTTTGCATCAAATATGCTGGGAACGCAGCCTCGTTCAGTCCGTTCATGCGTTCAGTCACTGTTCAGTAACTATTTTTTGGCTTGCTTTGGTTGACTGTGGTTGACACAATTGTTATATTGTAAAATGGTGCGAAAATGTTGTATTCCGGGATGTTCTTCGGTGCCAAAGGATCCAAGTCATAGTTTTCCGAAGAATGCCGAATGTCGCAATAAATGATTTCAGAATATAAACATGGAACCATCAGAAAACGAAAATGAAATAAAAAAATTAAGGATCTGCTGTAAGCATTTTTGTGATAAAGATTACAAAATTGATTTTACGTAAAGAATTTTACATTCCTGGGCAATTCCATCTACATATATGAGCCACAACACATCGGAATCAGTTGATGTCCATTATAATATTGTTAGATTGTCTATATATACACATGAAAGAAACCGAAGACGTCTAAAAAGAATTATTAGAAAAGGCAGGAAAATTAAATTTCCAAAAATAAAAGAAAAACGTAATGAAGAAAATGCTGATTTAACAATACGTGTAAGGCAGAATTTTATACAGATGTTGCAAAGAAACAATGATGTAGCACCTCAGGTACATTCGCCATCCTATTTAAATATTGACTAGAATTACAACTACTATCCTGGGTGTTTATTACTTAAAATTGTAGACTCATATATTTCGTTACATTTGTAAATCTGTTGTAGATCCGGGCTAGTACAAAAACGCGCGTACAACGTCCGACTTAAGAGATAACGTAGGGACTGATAACTTTGCGCAGAGCTCCAAGACAAAAAAATTCTCTGTATCCCCAACAACATTCATGTTTAGTTTTTTAATAATTTCTAATAGGCGCTTTTGTAAAAAGAAGGTAAAGCATTAAGCCCCCTTTCAATTTCGTAAACCTTTAATAAATATAATTTATTACAGCAATATTTTATTATATTGTGATAAGACTTGAATTTTTATATTTTTTCGCTCCTCTTTTATAGTCTCAATCGAAATCTTTAATACTTGTTGAGTTATATTTCAAGAAACTATGATGAGATAAAAATGATTAGAGAATATAAATTTTATTAGAAAGCAGGATTGGTAAAAGACCGTTTTTTTTTTACTTAACCAATGCTCAAAACTAATTTTAACTGGTCAAAATTGATTTTAAGATTTTAACTATTATCAAATCTAAATGAATTTTTGTTTTTAAAGGCTTCTTATTTTTATTATTTTAATTACAAACTCACCAAATATTGCTTAATATATAGGCACATAGGTCTAACACGTATAGATATAAACCCAATAGTTTCCACAGCTTTTTTTCATTCCGCTAAAAGCATTGATGAAAACTATGCACGATATTCACTGCTACCAACTGCTACTGGCAAAGATCTATAATGTACTATAAATTTTCAATATTGGCAGTGATGAGTATTAAAATGTAGTAGTGTACTAGTCACTGTTTTGTTAGGAGAGTAATTTTTTCACGTATGCACTAATGAGTGCAGCATCAACACCATACTAATGTCTTAAGATTCTGTTAAAGCTTTATTTTGACGTTTCTATGAAAATTATACCACTTTTTTGAAAAATTAATAAGAAATATAGAATATAGAAATTTAAAAAAATTTGATCCTTATTATATTGATCCTTTTACTATCAGAATCTGACTGGATTCCGCCAAAACTATGGACTTCTTAAAAAATATTATTTTTTTTATATATGCAATAACAATAATGTTCGTTTATGGTTTTAACTTATTACTTAATATCTAATAAAATGTTTTTTTGACTTATTTCGATCTAATTTTTATTCTCTATCTTAATTCTAGGCTGGGTTAGCTTAAAAACTATGTTGTTCCAAAAAAATGACTACCTGTATTGAAAATTATAGTGCACATAATATAAATTGTAGCATTTTCAGCACTGGCAATAAATTTTGACGCAGCTAATAATAATAGGGTAAAATAAAACTTATTAAATTTTGATGAGAGAGAGAGAGAGAGAGAAAAGATACATACTCAAAATCGATTTTGACCGAAATGATTAAAATCAAGTTAAAATCACTGGTTAAAATCACACTTTTCGATTTTGTGCCAATCTTGCAATAGAAGGTTGCTTTTGCGAAATGAATGATGATCGAATAAAATGTTAATAACTCTTTTAAGATGACTAATTTAATTTATTGTTTGGCCAACGATTCCGCTTTCGCTACTACTTCCTCGATCGGACCAACCATGTAAAATGCTACTTCCGGTAAGTGATCTAATTCTCCACCTAAAATTTTCTGGAATCCTTTGATAGTTTCTTGTAATGGTACTAATTTGCCGGCATGACCAGTGAACACCTCGGCGACCTAAAATATTACCATCAACTTCTTACTTCACAAGCGCAATTAATGCTTACGAGCATTATGAACATCAAGGCTGCCTAGTGGAACATTCAACATTCTTATCACGTTTGTGTATTATGTTTTCTCTCACCTGGAATGGCTGGGACAAGAACCTTTGGATTTTACGCGCACGTGCAACCGTCAGCTTGTCTTCTTCTGACAATTCGTCCATACCCAAAATTGCAATAATATCCTGTAGCGACTTATAATCTTGAAGGATCTTCTGTACACCACGAGCGATGTTATAGTGTTCTGTGCCGATAATATTGGGATCCATGATACGGGATGTGGAGTCGAGAGGATCGACAGCTGGATAAATACCTATATCCCAGTAAATATATATTCGAAAAATTATTGACATCATATGTGATACAACAGTAAATTTTCATATAACGAATTCGATCACTTGCGTTACACTAGATTAGTGCATATTAAAAGTCCGAGTTGGAAAAAGTAACTTATAACTAAGTTACAGTTAGTTACTTTTTCAATAATTTTAACTTAATTTCGTTCCTTTTTTCAAGCTGTAATTATAACTTAACTTATAATTGATTATATTTCTTTTAGTAACTAGTAACTAATTTCAATTAATTTTATATTTACTTTACATATTTTAAACTTATTTATCAATTTGATACGATAGGTTAGAATCTAAATAGTTGCTTTATTGCCGCTACTAATCACATAGAAGACAACAGCTGCGTTCAAAAGACAAACAGTATTTAAATTTTGTTTATTGTTAATGTCCACTGGTTTTTTATTTAAAGTCTATACAATAAGAATAATAAGGTGTGATAAGTCGCAAAAAATTGATCAATCATAGTAAAATGTGACACAGATATTTAATTATGAATAATCAATTTTTTATAGCTTATTACTTACATTACGTTATATTACTCCCATTATAGATGAACTATTAAAGCAAATTTTCTGTACAAATATAAATAGTAAAACTGCTTTCTATTTATACACAAATAAAACTGAATCTGAGGTGAATTGAGTATTTCATACTCAGATCAATGACGTCATTACTCGCTTACCTTAGTAAAACAGTTTTTTAAGTTTTTGACTAATAACAGACTCAGCAAGTCGAATCCTACTTGTCAAAATGAAAAATAAATGCACATTTAATTGAGTTACTAGTCACAAGTGAGAATTATCAGAGAATCAATGTAAAATAAATGGAAAGCAACGTAAGATATAAGTTGTAAGCATAATTTGGTAAGCGCAATTAGTAGCAGTAAGAATTTTATCCTAGTAAGGATTTTAGTAGAAACAATAGATTTTGAGATATTCGCAAAACTTTTTTTTACTTTTAATCCTATATAAAAAAAAACAGGAGTTACATCGATGGGAACGAGACATTGTTTAAAACGACAAAATAAAATTAAATGCAAAAATTTGGCTAGCTGTTAATTTTTCCGCAAAGAAATTCTAATTGCTCTGGAATATGGTTAAAAAAGTTTTAAACAATTAAATAATCAATAATAAAGTTTTCAAGTTTTTACAGAATATACATGTATTATTTCATTATCAAAGTTAATTTCATTATGCCACTGTATTTAAATACTTTATATGTATACTAATTCAGTGTAGCACGAGAGGTTAAATTTATCAAGAGATACACACCTAATTCAGCAATAGCACGTGACAATACGGTTGTAGCATCCAAGTGAGCAAAAGTGGTAGCGGGAGCAGGATCTGTCAAATCATCAGCAGGTACATAAATGGCTTGAACAGAGGTGATGGATCCTTTTTTCGTTGTGGTAATTCGTTCTTGCATGGTACCCATATCAGTGGCCAATGTAGGTTGATAACCCACAGCAGATGGAATACGACCCAACAAAGCAGATACCTAAAAACATGTGTTTTATATATATTATATAAAGAGAGATAATATTTTTTGTAATAAAATTATCGGTAGATTTAGATTCTCTTTAATATCTTGTTTTTAATATTTTTACAAAAATGCTTATTAGCATAAAAAATCATTAAATTGTTTGTCAATTAAACATGTGATGTTACTGTTATTGAATTTGCTCAATCCAATGAATTAATTTCGAGATCAAAAAAGATTTAGGCGAGATTTGCAGAATCAGAAAAGTATATAAATTCACACAGAAGTATATAAGATTTCTGAGTAGTCATCATAGTCGTACTGTAAGCCATACATACAAAGTATTATTTCTCATTTATGAAGTCACAATTCAGTATAGTCAGCGACTGTTCAGAAGCCTTAACATATTACAAATGTATTTATTAACTATATAAATAAAAATGGCAAATTATTCAATAATTTTACAAATCTTTATATATATGTATATATATGGGGCATTCCAAAAGTTATACACAAAAAAAATTGTAGCACCCCCAAGTGATTATTTTTCATTATTATGAAAAATATAATAAAAATAGAGTGGACAAACAAAAATAATGGGTGGACAATCACGTGCGCGTTGTGGACAAACAATATTCTCATATATATTATAATTATGAAAAATGTAATAGAAATAGAGGGTACAAACGAAAATAATGGGTGGACATACGTGGACAAACGGTGGACAAACAAATGCAATAATGATTTTATCAAAATTCACATTTAGGGGTGCCGACATCTCAGAGCTGCTCTGTGAAGTCGACACCCCTAAATGCGAATTTTGATAAAATCATTATTGCATTCGTTTGTCCACCGTTTTTCCATGTATGTCCACCCATTATTTTCGTTTGTACACTCTATTTTTATTATATTTTTCATAATAATGAAAAGTAATCACTTGGGAGTGCTACAATTTTTTTTGTGTATAATTTTTTTTTGGAGGGTGGACAAATTAAAATAACGAGTGGACAAACGTGGACAAACAGTGGACAAACGAATGCAATAATGATTTTATCAAAATTCGCATTTAGGGGTGCCAACTTTACAGAGCTGCTCTGTGAAGTTATATATGTATGTATTTTTTTTTGATGGTGGACAAATGAAAATAACAGGTGGACAAACGTAGACAAACAGTGGACAAACGAATGCAATAATGATTTTACCAAAATTCGCATTTAGGGGTTCCGACTTCACAGAGCTGCTTTGAGAAGTCGGCATCCCTAAATGCGAATTTTGGTAAAATCATTATTGTATTCGTTTGTCCTCTGTTTGTCCACGTTTGTCCACCTGTTATTTTCATTTGTCCACCCTCCAAAAAGAAGTTATACACAAAAAAAGATTGTAGCACCCTCAAGTGATTATTTTTCAATTCGAAAAAAATCATGATAGCTTCTTGCGATGAGTACTATAATATATCAAAATTTCAGCCAAATCAAAAATACAAAAATTTTCGAGTGGCACACTTGGAATGAAATGCCCCATATATATATTATACACACACATATATATATATATATATATATCGTTAAATTTACTTAATAAATTATGTTTATTTACCTCAGAACCAGCCTGAGTAAACCTGAAGATGTTATCAATGAATAATAGTACATCCTGACCTTCCTGATCACGGAAATATTCGGCGACAGTGAGACCAGTGAGAGCGACACGGGCGCGGGCACCAGGCGGTTCATTCATCTGCCCATAAACTAGCGCTACTTTAGAAGTCTTGTCCTTCAGAGAAATTACACCAGATTCGATCATTTCATGATAGAGATCGTTACCCTCGCGCGTTCTTTCACCCACGCCAGCAAACACTGAATAACCACCGTGAGCCTTGGCCACATTGTTGATTAGTTCCATAATAAGTACAGTTTTTCCGACTCCAGCACCACCAAACAGGCCTATTATAATAAATATAAGTAATAATATTAAGACACATGATTAATAATTTCAACAATATTATTAAACAAAACCTGATTTGGTTTTATATTTTCATAGCTCTAATACTATCGCAATTTATGTTATACCAATCTTTCCACCCTTAGCATAGGGAGCCAGCAAATCCACGACTTTGATGCCTGTGACTAGAATCTCTTGTTCAACGGACATGTCTACAAATTCAGGAGCATCTGCATGAATAGGGGCCAACTTATCTGTTGGGATAGGTCCACGTTCATCAATGGGTTCACCAATGACATTAATAATACGACCTAAAGTTTCAGCTCCCACAGGAATACGAATAGGGAATCCAGAATCTAACACATTTTGACCGCGTACCAAACCCTCCGTACCTATAACAGTAGAGTGATTTATTATTGAATCAATTAAATATCAATTTATATTTAAGCACAAAAAATCTCAAATTAAACAGCATATATTCAGAAATAGGACCGCAATAAGAATAAATTTCTTATTTATTAAAAATACAAAAAATATCCATTTTTGATTGAAACTGATCTTAGTACTATTTTAAATCTGTAATTAAAATTTATAAATCTCTTACATATCACGTTTTATAACATATACAAGACATTACCATCCATAGCAATGGTGCGCACTGTATTTTCTCCAAGATGTTGGGCGACTTCAAGTACCAGTCTAGGTGTACGGTTCTGTACTTCCAAAGCATTAAGTATGGGTGGAAGAGCATCATCAAATTGTACATCAACAACAGCACCAATAACAGCAACTACCTTTCCTTGCGCACCTTTGGATGCAGCCGCGGGTTTGGCAGCATAATCTCTTTCTATTTAAGATCGTGAAATTTTATATTTAAACATAAAAAATCTATATATAAATAATTATACACACTTAAAAAGAAATTACATGTACATCTAGAAAGTAAAAAAATACCTATCAATTTTTGTTAACTTTTTTTAAGAAATACTAAGATTCAGTGATAATAAATGATTGCATAATACATTCTAGACAATGGTGCTTTACTACTTTTATAATTGCTTAAAACCTAATCTACAATTGCTTAAACATAGTAAGTGATCTTAGTTATAAAAATTTTCTACAGTTGGATATTCTTCCCATATTCAACTTTGGTAAAGTCTTACAACTATGTTTATGCAATTGTATATTGGCCTTAACATTTCTTGATACAAATGTACACAGAAATGCACAAAGCTTAATGGATTTAATTTTGTGCCTTGTATACAATTCAAAATTCGAATTTATTTCTTTGAAAATCAATAAATTAACTCTCTTTGCAGATACATGTAGTTCCATAAATATATTAAAATTTTTTAATTGTCTAAAAAAAGTCGAATTCAAGATACTCCCAAATCTTTGCAAACATTACAAACTTAAGAAAAATGTTATGTAACATATGAAGAAATATAACTATCAAAATTAAATATTTGAAACTTTTCAACGAATTATTTTGAATAATTTCTTATACATATTTCGAAATATACTCTTCAAAATAATTAAATTGAAAAAAATATCGAAGAAAAGAACAGCAATAGACAGTTGTTACAAATTTATTATCAAATGAATTATAAAGACAAATGTTCTGTGTGACGAAAGATTTCTCGGCACCCGGTCAAGGTACCGAGAAATACACCATTTATAATCGCACTGAACATTTATCCATTCACAGAATTTTACGAACGGTGTAAAAGAACGTGTTAAAGTCGCCATATTGGCAAGTTGGCAAGCGGAATTTACACCAATCGACTACCGATTATATAATCAATAAACAATTTTTTTTAATAATTCATGTAAAATTCAGAATATATTGATTGTCATGAATGGGAACTATCGCGAATTCCGATTGCTCGATTTTATATTAAATACTATTATCAGAATGAATTCAGACAATAAATACGTCGACCGACTGTCATTCCACTTACAGATTATTTCCATAATAAACTGAAAAATATGTACTTACTGTTAATAGCGAGAACGCCTGATACTTTAGCGATTTCATTTTGTAAGAGAGGTTTAACAACTCTCAAGGAAGCAGGAACTGCTTTCGTTAAAGCGTTCAAAATCATGCTCGATCGATTGAGAAAAGTCTCTGACAGTCTCTGATATCACTATACGTATGGTCGTCTGGCGTGACCAGAACCAGGGTCTGATCGTCCAAATAAGCCTTTTTATATAGTTTGAAATGCGCAGACGCGAATATGAGTGGAGGAGGATCAACGATATCCAATCAATGGGCGCATTCAGCGGACTCAACAGTATTCTTCTAGATCCAAAATTCTGATTGGATGATCCAAAAGAATACACCAATAACAGCGAGCGCTCACTCAACTGTTGCGTCCGCTGAACGCGCCCAATGATAAAAATTTTCACTTTGCTGGTTCTACATTGGACGCAAGCAGCAAATTGCATGGACGCAAGTTTGTTGCGACAGCCAATCTGAAGCGTTGATTTAAAAATGCAAGCTTGAGATTAGTTGCCGCAACGAACTTGCGTCCAATGTAGAACCAGCTTTACATGTTCATTGGTTACCGCGCGCATTTAACCTCGCATTAAGGTACAATTTCATGCTGACGCTTGACGCTTATTTTTAGCGTCAAAACAGATCACGTGATACAAATTGACGAATATTAAGCATCAATTTTAATCACGTGATCTGTTTTGATACTTAAAATAAGCGTCAAGCGTCAGTATGAAATTGTACCTGTCGCATCGCCACATCGCAAACATTGCGGTCCAATCAACATCAAGCTCGTTCGACTCTGATTGGACCACAACGCTTGCGACATGCTTGAGACGCTGCGATGCGACTAATGTTGAACCAGCCGTATGCGTTATGCAAAAGTGTGTGCTTAGAGCCCAGACACACGCTTTTGCATAACGCATAACGTATAGTGCATAAGAGAATCAGCCAATCAAAGTTCTTCTTTTTCGTTAAGTGGAAGGAGGGATTCAGATTAGTTGATTCTCTTAAGCTGGTTCTACATTAGTTGCAAGCCGAATGCAAGTTCGTTGCGACAGCCAATGTCAAGTTGGTATTTTGAAATCAACGCTTCAGATTGGCTGTCGCAACAAACTTGCGATCGGCTTGCAACTAATGTAGAACCGGCTTTATGCACTATGCATTAAGCCCATTCCACATTGGTCGTATCGTAGACGTCGCAGGTCACAAATTTGTTGCAACAGCCAATCCGATGTGTCAATTAGAAGTCTCACGACGCTTAAGCCGTAATCACCCTATGGGTTGCGCGCTCTGTTGCGATTGAGATTACGGTTGAATGTTGGAAACTAACCAATCAGAGCAGAGCAGTTCCTGTGTAAAGCCGTAGTGTGATTACGGCTTTACGATGCTACGATACGACCAATGTAGAATGGGCTTTATGCGTTATGCAAAAAGTCTGTGCTCCCCGCTTATAAGCTATAAGCGGGGAGCACAGACTTTTGCATAAAGCATGTGCATAAGGATTTTCATTGGTCCATTTTCTTATGCATGAGTCAATGGACCAATCAAATTCTTTATGTATATGGTTTATGCGTTATGCAAAAGTCTGTGCTCCCCGCTATATCCACACAAACTTGCATAACCGCATAAGCGTATGCCTAATGAAAATTATCCAATCACATTTTACGTGCATCTCTATAAGGGAAATGCGATTGGACAATTTTCTTTAGGCATGCGTTTATGCAGCTATAGTTTGTGTGGATGTAACTTTACGTTTGTGCGTTCGGAAATCCATCGAAAAAGTGTTGTAATGCCGTGAGTGCCATTCTACAATTGCGTAAGCGTAGTTGTTACTGGTTGTAGTTGTAAGAATTAACCAATCACAGTCAAATATGAGGAGAATATTCGACTGTGATTGGTTAATTCTTACAACTACAACCAGTTACAACTACCCTTACGCAATTGTAGAATGAGCTTTAGGTGGAACACAGCCCTAGTGGTATCTATCTCAGTCTCAGTGAATCTTCGGTGTAATTTGGTAATCGGTAAGGTGGTTTATGAAATTCATGTTTCTTTTGGTAATGTGACACGTATAATTCGGGTCAGAAATTCACACAGGGTTACAATTTGTGTTTTCTTGCGATATTTAATCATTATAGTGACTTACGCTGTAATTTCGAACTACAATGCCACGAGGTAAGTTATCCTTTTATAAGCTTCTTTCTGGTCCCTATTTTATTAATTTATTCTATCCGCGTTCCTTCGAGGAAAGCAGTTTCTATATATTCTTCTTTACTAATCGCTATTTATCGCACAGGAAAATTCGTAAATCACAAAGGCAGGAACAGGCACTTTACAAATCCAGAAGAATTGGAGGAGCAGCGACGCCAGGAAGAGAAAAAGCAACAGTGGAGAGTTAGTATTTTTAGGTTAATCGACAGGAATAGCGATTTAGAGGAATTTTTATCCAACTCTGATTAACTTTAATGGATAATTAGTCAATGATAGGTATGATTGACCGGTTCCAATGGACTAATCGTCGATTAAAGTTAATTGGAGTAAGTTATTGGAGTAAGTTATTGGAGTAAAAGTTACTCTTAGTTAAGATATCAACTTCTTTTACACTGAGCATGTATATTAATTAGTAACTTTCTATTAAATTGTCTTAATTTCAGCAAAATATTTAAAGAATAATGTACTAAATTAGTACAATATACATCAAAATGATTAATAAAATGCACATATTATATATATATAATGCAATCGTATCATACAATGAGCAAATTCATTGGATGTTGACTAATGAAATTATAAATAAGTATCCTAGTAAGTTCGCTTACTTTTGTAATTTTTACCTTGTTTCAAGATATACATTCAATTTCTTAGGAAAATAATTATATTATTGATATTTAGATATTAGATGTGCTATAAAATTTATAGATTATGTATAATATTACAATGAAAACTATGTTCCAGTCCTGAAATATACAGTTCACAAATAAGAGAAAGAATTCTAACTTGGTCAAAAGCTAATTTTTAGTTCAATAATATATAAATTATATTTTTCAATTTTTTATAAAACACTTAAATTCGATGTTGTCAGATTTGATTGAACTTAAAATCTAATCATATAATGTTACATTGTTTAATCATAACTATATTACTCAACAAAATTATATATAAAATATTACCCCCTGTTATTCCATTTAAAAATAGGCAAATTATTTTTATTTTTATTTCTATAATAAGAGTCTAGTGAACACGCTTGTCTAATATTTTTTTTTAATTGAACGAGAGAGAAAAACATGTGCTATATTGTTCTACAGTGGCGCTGTAGAAATGTGGTAGCTCTATAAGCTCCATAGATTGTGGCTAACATATATAAACTCATAGGTTCTGCTTGCTTAGTCCTTTAACAGTCATAACTATTTCTTAAAATTCTTAGGAACTTTGGAACTATCGGAAATATATACAGAACTTAAAAAAATTTATTTTTTAATACTGCGCGACATAAAAATTTTCTAAAAATTATATAGATGACGAAACGCCAACTTGTGATATTCTTCGCAATCTTATTTTCAGATTTTGATTTAAAAACTATATAGGTTTTGTTGTGTCGAGAATACAGCCCACTATCACTTCTCCAAGGGATTTGATAATGTTATTAGATGTATAAATAAGTTTCCACCGTTTTTTCATCAAAAATTGGGCATTTATTGTGAAAGAACGGTACCTAATGTTTTATTCGAAGTATTGTCCATCACTAGCCACTACTTTTTCCCATCTTTCTGGTAATTGGTGATTCCACGTCGAAAAAACAAAAAACGTCGAAACTACGTTCTTTGTTTTCGACGTCAAATTCACCGTTCTTAAACTTTTGAAACCACTCACGGCAACTTCTCTTGTCTTGCAACTTCTACGGCAGCCTCACCATATACTTCTACAAGCAATCGATGCGCCTCAGCTGCAGATTTCTTCAAATTAAAGAAGCTCCCGCAAATGACGCTTATTCGGCTCAAAACTCGAAATTTTCACACGAAAAAAGATATATGATGCTGATACAAAATCGCTAATATTTCAAGGTTATGTTGTTGCCAGATGTCCAACCTCACGATATGATGTTTTACAGCAGCAATTTTAACCATAACATACTAGTGGCGCCATCTTTTGTCAAACGGCGGAAACTTATTTATACTTAGTATAGGGACTCTAATTTATACTTCTTAGATCATGAGAATTGGGAATCAATTTAAAATTGAATTTTGAGGAGTACAAATATAACGCGATTTTTAAGGTTTTCTGGTCAAATATGATTACAAATACACGTGCACAACATGCACAAATATAGATACATTCCATTAATTTTTGTATTCTTTTAGATTCAACCTTTTCGCGTTAAATAAATTTTTTATTGAACAAATTGAACGATTACATTAATGTTTTTAAATTTATTCAGCAATTGACAAAAGTCAGAAATTATAGTAAGGAGAGATTTGCTTTTATATCGACATTTCGACTGCATGATTTGTCAATGAAATTTTATACCTTGTTTCTCTGATTTTGTAGCAAGCTGCTTTTCAAATAATTTAAGATGGTGGTGTAAGAGATCATCTCAAAAGCGATAAAATCTATTAAAAGTTATTCAGAATCGTGACCTTGACAACATATGGCAAGGTCAAGGTCAAGGTCATTAGAGGGTAATTCGTATTATTAAACATTTACCTAATTTCGATGTCTATCCACTGGTATAAAAATTCACCAGTACATTCGCCTATATTACCTTCAAACTTCGGCATTTTTGAATTCGCTTGCAAGCAGGAGATTTCGGCGGATGTATCATGACGCGGATTCTGAGGAGAGATGGTCAGGGAATTATCCTGCAATTCGGCATATATGTTATTTTTTGCAAAACATGCCCTATACATTTTATACATTTACTAAATAATGTTTTCATGCTTTATTCAAAAGTTACAACCGTAAAACACAAATTTGGTCAATTTTTGAGAATTAATTTCTTCTTAAATATGTTGTCAATAAAAAATACGCATCTCGAATATTTCGTCTCCTTTAAAAACCTGCCAAATTAAAATTGGAGAAAAATCTGAGATCAATTTCTCCTAAGTAAATTTAAAGTTTAACTTTTCTACGTAAGAATAAGCTATTGTTTTTTATATTATATTTTATTAAAAGCTAAGTTAATTTTTCTTTACTCTACAGAAAAATAAAGGGCAGGAGAGTTCTAGTGAGGAAGAGGATGATGAGGAGACGAAGACGTGTGAAGCCAATAGGTCAAAAAGTAGTACCACAGATAGCAACAGTGAATCAGAATCAGAATCGGAAACAGAGGTATCTATACATGTGTATATGCAAGATTAAAAAAGATGTTTTTTGTGTATAATTATATAAAGTGTTGTTTTCTAATCTTTTATTAATTATTTTATTCTTGTAGGGCGGAAAAGCAAAAGGTGTAGAGAATTTAATTCAAGTAGAAAATCCAAACAGGGTACAAAAGAAAACAAAAAAATTATCCCAACTGCATCAATCGTTAGACACTGCAAAACCAGAACTATCTCGAAGAGAGCGGTATGTGTGCGATTGCTTTAATTATAATCATAATTTTTTTACAATATTTTTTAAAAATATATCCTTACGATCATATCTTGTTTTGCATGTATCATTTATCTCATTCTCACCGGTATTGAAAATGTGATCCTAATTTTCAGAGAACAATTGGAAAAACAAAGAGCTTATGCGAATTATCAAAAATTACACGCGGCCGGTAAAACGGATGAAGCTCGAGCAGACCTAGCACGATTGGCTATAATTAAGCAGCAACGAGAAGAGGCGGCAAAACGGCGAGAGGAAGAGAAAAAGCAAAAAGAAATGGCACAACAAAAGAAGACAGAGCTGACACAGAAGGCGCTCGGAAAAAAATCTTAGAACATTATGACATGATTAATTGCCACAAACTTCTATAATTAGACTGCTGACTTCGATTATTTTGTATATGATAGAAAAAAACAAGAGTAATATTAAAATCATTGTCTGTGCTCACTTATGCTTATGAATGTACGAAGTTGGAACACAGACCTTTGCATAATATTTATTTCATGAAGGGAAATATTGTGAATGGTTAATTCTCTTATAAATTATGCATTAAAATGCATTCTCACGAGTCGCTCAAACCAACTGTTTCAGTGATAAAAAAAAATTACGTGATGACGTGATTTTGTATCAGAAATATTAAGCCTGATCTATAATAAATTGCAAATACTGTCGTTAGTTACAATGTTTTGCAACAGCCAATCAGGGGCGTCAATAGTAATTAGTCATGCTTCTGATTGACTGTTGCAAAGCATTACGGCTGGCAACGGAGTATTTGCAACTTATTATAGATCAGGCTTTAAAACGATAACTTTATAGAAAAAAGAGACAAGAAGCGTTGAATTTGACAATTGAGCGATTTGATGCGTTTCTCGTGTTTTTCACATGATGCTTGCAATATTAATTCGCTTAAGGGATGCTGGAGTAATCAAATTGTTAATATTACAGTCATATAAAAATCTCCGAATTGATTAAATAGAATACAAAATCCTTTTGCAGAATTAAAGTAAACGCAAAATGAGGAGATGCTGAAGTGGATTTTATGTTAAAATCGAAAAGAGTTAGAAATTTACTTAACTTTTTTTCAATTTTAATATAAAGTCCACTTCAACAACTCCTCCAGGGCATCGATCATGTAAATTTTCCTCTAGAACGAATCAGTAAAAAATGACGAATCTCATGCGGATTTCATCATTTTGTGATCACGTAATTTTGATTACGATAAAGGCGTGAGATATTTAGCGTGAAATTTTTTACTATTAGCCGATTTGATTAAAAGGTGATAATGTTTTTTAACGGCATAGGCGTTTTTTCGTTACGTAACCAAAAGCAACCGCGGCTAAAATTATCTTCGTCTCTTTAGAGATCAGATGACGAAGATAGCCTTAGTCTTGTTTCTGGTCGGATTACAGAAAAAACGCCACATAATTGATAAAATTGCTGCAGCATTTTGGGTTATAAATCTGTCAATATATATAGAAAAAAGACGAAAGTTAAAACTGATGCGTAGACTTTATATGACATTTCAGATCCATTTATTGTGCTCTTTGTTTATATATAACATGTATTTTTCAATTGAAATACATATACTGAGTTAGAAAATTTTTCAAATGAAAGTTTATGTATTCTAAATTAATACATTGTTACAACTTACAGTTATTAGTAAAATTGTTATTAATAGTTAATTTCTTATTACCGTTGATTGCACTTATTTAGTCTGTTCTTCATTTCATGCTAATTAATAAGATTATATTAACAGTCGTGAAGTTGCCTTCAGTGTGGTTTTCAGTATGTTTTTGGCAAATACATATGTATGGTATTTCCACTATGGTTTTTGATATAATTTAATATGAATAGATTTTTATCACTTCTAGTTATGTCACTAATCATTTTTTTTCGCTACATAATTGCAATAAAAATAATGAAACCGTGAGATGGCCAGTAAAAATCTAAAAGTGAATTACATATATCACTGAAAAATACGTGATCGATGCCATGATTTGATATACATCTCTCGATGAAGACGAGCGAACAGATATGGGCTCGTGCTGTGTGTGTGGCTACCGATTTCACATGTGGCTCCCGTGCGAAATAACGTTATTGATAGTCTCTCAGTGCAACGCTCATCGCTTCTTTTAGCTCGCTCATGGTGAACCGCTCCAATCGTTTGGCCTCCCTTTGTCTGCAATTGTGTACGAATAGCCGGCAGTAGGCACTAGGCAATGACCCTCTTCAAGCATCTCAGCGACGAGTATCGTTGTCAAACGTCTAATCCTGTCTCCATACGTACGTTCATCATAACCCGCCTTTTTTCTGGAGTTTCCGACAAGAATGATTGCCTCAGAGGGTACTCTATTTTTTTTTGGTCTCCAACTAAGGTGGATCTCTCCACCACAAATTTTGGTTTTCTAGTCGTGCATAAACACAAGTACTATTGGCAAAGTCGATTATTGACCAACAGGATACAAGTCCAAACATATAATCACGCCGTTGATGTTGATCACATCCAAAAAACGTAAGAAATCTAGAAAGGGATTATCTCGTGCGATAAACGACAACGTGATCGATTACGTGTATTGGGACGAACTGGTGGATCGTCTACGATTGCTCAACTCTTCGCACCGGAGCGGGCAACGACGCTCACGACAACAAGATGCTATCGATCATCGAGGAACCTCGCGAAGCCGACATTATTATAAATTAAATCGCACATTAATGAAACGGGTCAGTCGAGTGGCGTCAGCTATACACAGGCTACAAAAAAATCTTTTTTTTTTCTCGTAGCTTGTGTATTACACATTGAATCATGAAAAAGATATCCGATGAAGAGAACAAAGTTAGCTTCGAGAAACGTCGACTTTTCGAGAAATTACATAGTTTGCGGATATGACGATTTGTTGAAAGCTAACGTCGTCGAGATGTGCCCACACTCAAGCTTCAACAGAGATCACTACATATTCACAGGCATTGATGTATTAAACAAGAAAAAAACACTAAGAAAAAAGTCGCTATATGACACTAGAATGTCGGTTGCAATTTAAAAAACAATTACAAAATTTGAACAATAAGGCCTTTTTATCAAAAGTAATAATAATAAGAACAGTTATTTGATGAATAATAAAGTCAGATATAAATGCATTATTTAATCGGAACATTTCTTAGAGTGTCACATGTTATTTTGCCGCCAGTTAAAGTGAGTAGTAGATTTCCACTCCAAGAAGCTGTGCCATTTCCGTTTACCATAAGATCCACCTAATAATATATTATTTTATTACAACGTATTTTGTGGTGATCATTTAAATATTACAACAATTGATGGATACATGCGAAGATTTAATAAACTATTTTTAGCAAATTAAATTAATTTTTAGACATACCTGCAATTTCTCCCACACTTTTTTCTTTGGATTTAACACATCATCTGCAACTCCATCTTCGTATCCTTCGACAACAATTTTATCACCAGGCTTACTGTCTGCAGGAGGCCTTAAAGGTTCTACTTGCCTAGTTGGTTCTTCACTGTATAAAATATATATTCGTTTATTGTGCAATGAATTTTATAAAACGCAAGTTTCAAAAATATGATATTTATATCAAAATTTCATAAAGTGTAACAAAGCGACTATATCAGACACATTTAAAAATAAAAGTATATTTTCTTACAGAATGTTTCAGACAAAAATTGTAAGGTTTAAATGGCACATTAGATAATAAAATTAGTATAACCTTGAATAGCATATATTACTAAGGTCACATTATATGTCGTCATGACCCTGAACAATATTTTAATTAATCGGATCTAAGCAATGTTAATATCGATTATTGTTACTTTTAAGCATTATAACTCGGAAAATACTTAATAAAAAGTATCTTTTATGGATAAATATACCGAATAGGAAACCTCCTCCAATGATTTTTATCTTGACATATGTTATGAAGGTCATGATCTTCTCTGATCTTGACCTTGAATGGTATTGTCACCCAAAGTCAAACCAATTATATCATTCTATGTTTTTCTTAAAATCACAAAACTTTTGTCTGGAATATTTTTCGATTCGATAGTGTTTCTGAGCGAATTCTAAAATGGAGCACCCTGTATAATGAAAATGGGATACTCACACTGAAGCACAGAGAACCATTCCATACGATGAAATTCCCTTGAGATTTACTGGTTTTAGATTTGCAAGAACTATAACCATCCTGTTTTCCATCTCGTCGATAGGTACAAAATTAACTAATCCGCTGACTATAGTACGTGGACCGTTTGATTCGCCTAAATCTATTTTCTCAACATATAGCGAATCTGCATCAGGATGCTTCTTCACTTCGACTATTTTGCCCACTCGGATATCTAGTCTTGTGGGAGTAATTTCCACCACCTCCGCAGTTTCTGAATTACATAAAAAATTGCAATTACAGTCGCAAAAAGATATATATAATTAATCTTGTATATTTCTCGACAGCAATAAATATGAAAAATAATTGCGTTAAGAGGATCCTAAAGACGATTAATCATTAATTCAAAATAGCACTTACGCGTAGACGATATTACGTGTCATTGATATATCACTATATTAATATCTCATTCACGCATGACACATACACATAAATTTTTGTATAACAATTATACATCTTTTAATTATACATCTAATGCCTGCTTCCACTAATAAAGATTAACTTTAATCTCGATTTAACTTATTGTTCAACTTTTTCTAATTTTTAGAACTAGAAAAAGACGAAGAACAAATTAAACCGAGATTAAAGTTAATCTGCATTGGTAGAAATAGGCATAAGTCCAATTTTAAGAACTCCACGTTGTTTCTTCATGCATACTAGTCAGTGGACTACTATTTTGTACGTACAGATTGCACAGTTTTTATACGAAGCAAATATTATCACGATGTGACGGCTCTGGAGCTGTATTGGACTAAGAAATAGTAAAAAACTAAATTGCGAAATTTTTAATCGTTTTTAGCATAGACTCTATCTCACAAACACGTATTAATGTGTATATTTTAATCCTGAAGAAAGATTTTCAAATCAATAAAAGAGAAAAAAAATTATTATACAAAAATTATCTGGTTTAACCGGTAATACGGACAACTTTAGGATCTCCTTAAATGTACTTAGCTAAAATCTACAAAGCTAAATTACTTTGTTTCTGTGGATACGCTTTGTTTGCAAGCGATTTCAGTTTTGAATCTGCTTCAAATTCTTTTCTTATTGGATCAAGAAGTCTATTGATGTATATTTCTGCAGCATTTTTCAAGTCACCAGGATGTATTTCTTGGTTCGCAAAGGCGGTTTCCAAATCTTCATAGTTAGAAAAAGATGCGTCACCACCTGAAATCATTAAAATCAACAAACCATTATTTTCCATTTTACAATTTTCATTAAATAATTTCTATTGTACGATCATTAGAAATGTCAAAAATATTCATGTGAGAAAAAACTCAATTTATATAGCCATTATTTTAATTATTAATCTAGATATACAATTATGATATTTAAGCTCTTTTCATGACAATAATAAATGAACTAACGAGTAACGTCTGACGGTTAAAACTTTCTCAAAATCACTCAGGATCATGACAGGATCATAAAATTTCAGTATAATTCCAGAGTCCAAGAATATTCAAAGACTGCTGGACATCACGTTATACTGCTCTGCCATCATAATAATGTCATCTTAGGGACAATGGATAGATAGTCTGGATGAACTTCTTGGTCATTTTTTTCTTCTAGGTGGAGGCGCCAAAAAAATATGAAAGTCGTCTATACTTTTTTAAATGGAATTATATATATATGACTTTTTCATGTAGTATGATTCCTCTAATTATTTTACAAAAGTATTGAAGTACAGTTATCAGAAAACTAATAGTTTACGAGACATTTTACAATTTATTATGTCACATAATAAATTGTAAAATTTTTATTATGTTGACATAACGTGTTAAGTATTTCGTAAACTACTAATTTTTTGATAATCAACCTTAATACTTGTATGAACAAAATAAAATTAAATAATTAGTACGTATATAAAGCATACAGTTTAAAAAATATGTAGACACAAAATGGATACTTTTTTATAAATAAACAACTATATTTTCCTTTATATCGATTGATTCGCCTCATTTTTCTGTTGTGTCAACATGTATCATAATAAAGTATAAAATATCTAGTAAACTATTAGTTTTTTAATATCTCTATCCTAATACTTTTTTTATGCAAAATAATTAGAGAATCACACTATATAAAAAAAATCATATAATTCCACTTGAGTAGAGATGATCATCACATCTTTTTAGCGTCTTCACCTAGAAGAGAAATAACATGACCAAAATACGTTTTCCTTAAAGCCTTTCCACTTTCATATAAAACATTTTTTTGTATTATTAATTTCGGAGAAAATTAACTGCATTGATTAAAATGAATTATCCTATATAATATACATATATAAACCACTTACCAAATTGTGCAGTTCTTGATACATTAAAAGTTTCGCCATCTTTAAATAATGGAAATATAACGTGTTTGGAAAATGCTAAAATTCCATTATCTGTGATGTTTCCAGGTTCACAAAATGCTTTCTTCAGCTTCTTCTTTACTGTCACAGGATTATCCAATAAATCAATCTTGGAATCTTCCTCAGATGAAGACATTTTAGAACCAACTAGGCCAGGAACTGAACAAATAGCAAATATGAAGAAGTTACATATAATAATTGCATTGTATTTAAATGCAATAACACAAAGGATTTGATTCATTTTAATGCACGGTACTGACTCATTGGATTCATCAGATGAATATGTTTTTCATAACCTAGCATTGGTAAATATTTCTCTGAGAAAGTAAAGATCTTTCTTTGATCGACACCACCAAATTGCGCATCCACCTTTAAGTGATGCTCATCGAGTGCTTGTAGACCGGGATAAAGAAGACCCGATAGCAATGGATTAGAGACTTGCTTAACGACTTCAGCACCTGCTTTTTTTGCATCATGTTCTGTCACTAATGAGCTCAAACGATATACGTCTAATGTATATTCCCTCGAAAAAAAAAAGTTAATTGTAATAATATTGATAAATATATTGTAGCATTGATAGAAAAAGTGACATATCTTAAAATTACTTTTCAATAAAACTTTTTTAAAATTTTAAGTTAGACAATGTTATAATTAGAATAATAAGTATGTTCTAATTTTATTTTTTGCTGTACTTATTATATGTAATCAATTATATGCATTTTTTGTGAAACTATTATAAATTCATTTTCAAAATTTGAACAGTGTAACTCTAATGCTAATTTCTGACTAATATTTTTTAATACTTTTTTTATCAACTCGGCTGTATATCAAGAAAATAGACAAGTATGGGCGAGTTTTTTAATTCATCGATTGATCAATCGCATTAATGCGCAAGTGCAACATGTTGCACCTGTGAATCATGCGATCAATCGATGAATTAAAAAACTCGCCCATACTTGTCTATATATATAATTCAAGATACAAGATGTAAAGAATTAATTTAATGCCTACTTGGACAACTGATAATCTGTGCCTTTAACAAATTTTAATTTATCCAATGGTACATCGATTGACTTCAACATTGATTTGATTATAGCCTCATAATATTGAGTACGAAGCTGTAGAAGCTCCCACGGTGCTTTCATATTATCTAAGTATGCATGAAGGTCTGCAAAGAGTATTGTCACCTCGGTTTGGCTCCGTAAGAAATCAGCTATCTTAGACATAGGGACAAAATAGCCAATATGAGGCTTTCCTGTTGTAGCTGTACCCCAGTACAACTTCAAATCACGTTCCTTTAGGATATTCTTAAGTTTCTCATCTCCTAGCCATTCTGCTAAATTTCTGGTAATAAGCTTGTATTTGTCAATCCATGTCAAAGCCATTGTTGTGTAGCAAATTATTTTTTGTAATTACCTGGGAACAAAACATTATAACAGAGAAATTTTATAAAAATACATACTGTGTTATATATAAAAATAATGAAAAATAAGAAGTATTTATATTTTATTTATTGTTGCTACTCGGTATGTTTTTACCTATCTCATTATCAATATGAAAAAAATTATTTACTATTGTCAAATTAAATTATTATCTAATTTATTACAAAGAAAAATGCTTAGATGGAGAAGGGCAGAGTCCATGCATTCCATTGATATACAATGTGATATTTATACAAATATATTAGGTAATATTTAAATTATAAAGTTGAACATACAATGTCTACATATTGTCATTGTTTATTTATTAATAACTGTAATAAATAATGATTACTGGCTAAAACCTTTTGATTGTTATTCAGAAGAATATTATTGATTTTAATAGTATATTATGGTAAAGAATTTTAATCTCTAATATATGTTTTATTATCAAAATTATTGAACTGTAATTTTAAAGGCCTCTTTTACTAACTTTGATTAACACTAAAACAAAATCGATGTCAATCATCACGATTATCAACATGAGAACTTAGACAATTTATCTCAGAAGAGGAGAGAGAGGACATTCTAATATATTAAATTGCTGTTGACATTTCTGCCTGTTGATCCTTGATTAATTTGATCAAAAGTTGGTGAAAGGAGCTCTTTATATATCTTAGAAATTATAAGATACCACTATTTTTGTACATAAAATTCCATCAAAATAATTCATAAAATCTTATTTTCATCTTCTGGACAATTATACAGTTTATCTTCCCGTAGCTAAAAATCAACAAATTGGGCTTATTCGTAGAAAAAAGCGTCACTCTTATCTAATGAACAGAGATATTAATCGTTAAGTTAGTGACGACCATTTAGATTAGGAAATCTGTCATAAAAAGATCTCTTCTGTGTTATTGTTAGCAAGAATAGAGAAAGGTCTTTTCTAAAGTTGTGACAGATTCTCTAACCTAAGCTAGTACCCGGATGCACCCGGATGGTCGCGTTCAGCAGACTCAACAGTTGAGTCTGCTGAACGCAGCCGATGTTATGTCATCATTGTTTAACGTTCGATAAACAAAGATAGAGTGATATATATCGGCTGCGTTCAAAACGTCACCCTACAATCTTATCCTTGTTGTTCATCCATGTTAAACAAGGATAAGACAAACACGGAGGGAGGGGGCACTCGGGTGATGTTCCTGAACATAGCCATTGGAGTGCTACTCGGATGAGAATTTAAACCCAGCATTGAATAGTAATCAACTTAAATGATTAATATCTCGGTTCGTGGAACAAAGCAATGATATTTTTATGTCGGACTTTTTCATTTCATGTACAATATTGTACAAAACGCGTTGAATAAGCTCAGTTTTATTGATTTTTTAGCTGCAGTAGATAATTACCCTCGTTTATATATTATTAAAACGTATAATTACGCGAAGTTTCAGAGAAAAGAATATACTAAAAGTATTCTCACATAATAATTAATGGATCAATATTTCTTAATATAAACAGTTTTTATCGAAGCTGGGATAGTAAGATTCATATGAAATAACCTAAAATATGTTAAAATGAGTGGAACTCTGTTTTTGTAATTCCTTTCTGTCATTCGGTAATTATACAGAATCACTGCCTCACCTCAAAAATCGATCAAATTAGGTTTATTCGACGCGTTTTTGCATGAAACGAAAGAATCTGGCAGAAAAAAGTGTCGCTCTGCCCTATGAACCGAGATATTTAGCGTTAAAGTTGACGATTATGGAGGTTAGGAAATCTATCATACCGACTACGTAGTGCTACGAGTATGCCTTCTTCATGCTGTCTGACCTCGTGCGCATGCGCTTGGTATCGTTTGAGTCCAACAGAATGCACGAAATTTGAAATTAACACTGCAAAACAAATTGTTGTCAGACACGAAATCCTAAACCTTTCCCTGTTCAGAAACGTTGACTTTCCACGCGAAGTAACTTCCCCCCCCTCACCCCCTGCACAGGGGCACACGACTTTTTTTTGCAAAAACGCGTCGAATGAGCCTAATTTGATCGAAATCGGAAGTGATGAATGTATTCTGTTGTATTCTGTATAATTACCGAGATCAGATATGTTTCATTCCTGGAAAGTCCCCCCCCCCCCCCCTCCCTGCACAGGGGCACACGACTTCTACGATTGTACTGTCGCGGGCAGACCTCTGTCCATCTCTCCCTCCCCCCCTGCTGAGGGGCACACTACTTCTATGATAGTACTTTCGGGGCAGACCTCTGTCCATCTCTCCCTCCCCCCCTGCTGAGGGGCGTACGACTTCTACGACTATGCTGTCGGGGCAGACCTCTGTCGAAGGCCACCCCCTTGCACCCGCCCATGTATGTGTGTGTGACTGTGACAGATTTCCTAACCTAAATAGTCGTCAACTTTAACGTTAAATATCTCGGTTCGTAGGGTAGAGCGACACTTTTTTCTGCCAGATTCTTTCGTTTCATGCAAAAACGCATCGAATGAGCCTAATTTGATCGATTTTTAAGGTGAGGCAGTGATTCTGTATAATTACCGTTACTTTACATTTAAAATTCATTTAAAGATATTTTTCCTATAAATATGGTAACATTTACTTTCTTTATTATTATTATATTATATTCACCAGAAACCGAACTCTTCTTTTTAGCAGGAGAATAGCTCCGATTCTGTCCGATTCCAATCGCACCGAGCGAACACGCGGCCACGGAGTTGACACTGAACCACAGTATATATTATATATACAGTAGCGCAACTCTCTGTCGGCACCTTTGATGCTTAGAACATATATAAAGCCCAAGACACAATGCGAGAGAATAGCGATAGCGGTAAGTTTCAATCTATCAAAAATGTGTATTCCGGTGTATTCGATTTCTGATAAGTTGAAACTTATCGCTATCGCTATTTCCTCGCATTATGTCTTGAGCTTAACATGCAGAAATGCTCATTGGACGGGCAAACAATTTTTTTGGAAAGTGATGAAAACTGATCCCCTTCTTTTTATAATTATAGCATTGTGCCACAGAACAGTATGTAGTATTTCTTTTTTATTTTACTTTATTATTTTCCATTATAGCACGTATAAGCTTAGCCAATGAGTCTGACTAGCGAAGCTTCTACCGGCCGCTACTAAGAGCGCCACAGAGAAATCTTTGCATCGCCAATAGGCTTTACATCTTAAGTTTTTCTATGTGCCATGGCCTTAATAAATTTTGGCGCTCAGACTCAGATGTGTGATGTCAGTATTTCTGTTATATTATGTTTGATGAAACGTGCTATGGAATATAAAGTAATATAATTCTGTATTTATATATGTTTAAGAAAAGAAACTGTATACAATGAATTGTATTCTATTATATATATATAATTTCTGTTTTGGTACTTAAAAAACATTTTTCTTACATTCTTTGATAATGGCGTATATTGCTTCTCTCTCAACGGTTACTGATCTTGAAGAAGTTTATTTAAGCAAAAAAGATGTTAATGGAAAAGTTTATATTAAATCGAATACCTTTAAAGATATTGAAAAGCTCAATAACGAAGAAGTAGCACATAGTCAACAAGACGAGAAAAATATTGAAAAAAATTTAAGAAATGTTTGTGATGTCATATTATTAAATGAACAAAGCTGCTCTAACCAAGAAAAATTAGAAAATAACGAAAATTCTGATACCTTGGTTAACAACGTTTACCTAAGCGATGGAGTCAATCTGAACGAATCGACAAAAAAAATCGAATTAAAAGTTGACGATAAAAAATATTGTGATTTAGACAATGACTGTAATACTGTTGAAAAGAGATGTTCAAATTTCTTGAATAGTGATTCTGTAGAAGAAACTAATTTGTATAAAACATTAAACAAAAATTCTAGTCCTGATAATAAATATTATTCAAAATCACCTGAAACAGACTTACAGATTACAGAGCATTATAATTCAAAAAATAGAAATGTAAGAAGAGTAATAGATAGTGAATCTGAAGAAGACATCCAGACAAGCGAGAGTTATGATTTTTCTCAAAGAATTCGTCATGTTACATGTACTACTGTAAGTAATTACATTATACACATATTTATGGTACAATCTTTATCTTTCATACTTTACTCCAAAGATGATCTTAGGAGATCCTTTTAAGGTCTATGCAATATGAGTTCCTCCTCCTCCTCCTCCTCTTTCTCTCTCTCTCTCTTCTCTCCTTTCCTTTTTCTATCACTCCTTTCTCATTTTAAAATAAAGTAAAAAAATATATAAATAGATTATTTTAAAGAATATATATATTGATTATTTATGTTATATGATACCATTAATATCAACATTTTGTAAATATTAAATTTTAATTACTTTATCATGACAAGAAACAATTTGATATACAATATCAGATACAGGTTCCTATTTATGATAAAATATTTTTTTGCCAACCTTATGAAATATTAACATTAATGATATCATATTAACATTAATGATAATAATCCGCAAACTTTAATTGAACAATTTCAAAGAAAATTTTCATGAAAAACTAAATTATGAGGCTTTCTAAAAATATATAAAACATACTTACTCTTTTTATTGTACAGGCTAAAAGCTATCGGGATTTAATTGATTCTGAATCAGAAGAAGAAAAGCAAAATAAAGAAACAGATTCTGAAAAAGATACACAAACAAGCAAGAGTAATAACTTACTTCAGACAGTTCTTACTACAAATATTACTGTAAGTAACCATCTAGTGTATAAGTTTTCTCATATAACTTTGTGTGTGAAAAATAATACAATAAATTATAAAAAATATTTACAATATATATTTTTGTTACAGAGTGAAAATCAAGTTTTAGTAGATTCTGAATCAAAGGAAGAAAAGGAAAATAAAAAGACAGAAGACAACACTTATATCATATTTAATGAAGAACCTGAAAATAAAGATGCTAAAAAAAAATCTCTTAAAAAGAGAAAGGTATGTGGTGTGGCAATAACGTTAATGCTATAAGAAAACAACATAAGAGAATGCTGGAATGCCAATTATCACAAATTATACATCCTGTATATATATATTTTTTTTATACATCACACAAAATGTATATTACAATGTTTTTATTATTATATTGATATGTGTGACTTCTTTAGCCTTATATTAAGTTGAACATATTTATGTGTTGTCCAATTCTTATCATTTTCAACAATTTTTAACTTCCAGCTTGAGTTATTTTATTGCAATTTAGCATTGTAATTGTATTGGACTATTTATTCTTGCATCGTAATTGTTCTACGATGGTCACGCATAGATTGAAAGAATGAAGATATAAAAATATAAATTTAATATTTTGTGTCAATACGTTGGAATAAAGTATAAAATATCTTGTTAACTACTGGATTTTTGATACTTCTATCATAATTATAATAATATCTTTTATATGCAGAATAACTAGAGAAATCATATTATGTAAAAGAAAAGAAAATATATCATTCTATTATATAATAAAATCAGTAAAAGTGACCTTGAAATATTCGAAGCGCTGTAGTATCCATATTAGAAAAATTAAAAAATTATTAGTAGCGTATTGTACCCCTGTTGATGTTATACAACTTTAGTAAAATAGTATTTCATATCTTTAAAAATAGAGAAGATATTCTAGTGGAGTTACTATCCCATCCCATGGTATATATGTCAATGTTTACGGTTATGGGCGAGATTTTTAATTCATTGATTGATTAATTGTTAAATTGGTAAACTCATCCAATGAGTTTTTAATTTATCAATTAAAAAAAGAGAAAACACTAGGCATAAGTATCAATGTGTCACGCTACATATCACAATTACAAAATCTTGAATAATAATAGATGTAGTTGTTATATTACAGCAATTAATATAAGATACAATCTTTTAAATTATATTATTTTGATCCTATATAGGGTTCGATAAGAGCTTCCAAAGATGAGGCAATGCGTCAGATACATAGCGAAAGTCAACGTTTATTAAGAGAAACAGAAATTTCTTTACCATATCATAGACCAAAACAGCGTACATTACAAGAATTTATGAACAGAAAAAGAATATCAGCTGCTCTTCCGAAAGCACCTTCAACGGCTGCAAAACTTAGGATGTCGTCTGCTATAGTAAGGTAAGTATTTGTATAGGTATATAAACTACAGATATTTTAAAATATATATGTGTGTATCTCTCTTAAACGTAAACGCACGTATGTATACTTTACAAATTTATTTTTGAGTTATAAAATAAACCATATTTACATATAATTTTAAACAGTCAGGTGCTTGCAGAAAAGGAAAAGGAAGCAGAACTCTTTTACAAATCTTCAGATTCAGAAGATGATGTACAATCTATGCCTTTAGTTAATAAAGATATAAAAAAATCTTTCATTACAAATGAAAGAGAGATGCCATCAATATATATTGATGATCATATACGTATTCAAAATCTTAAAACGTTTGAAACAAACAATCGAGATTCTCAAGATAACCAACAAGAAATTGTACAGAAAAATTTTGTAGATCTTAATGGGAGTAAAGTGTTACTTCAAAATGATTTGTGTAAAGTAAATCATCGAGCTATAGAGTTAGCTTCCTTAGTAGATAATAACTGTAATCCAGACAATGAATCTGATACGTTACTACTACAGATAACAAATGAATATGATAAAAATCTTCCAAAAATTAGTTTACCAAGAAAATCGGTTGACATCCATGTTGAGAATAATTCAACTTCTGAAATATATTTCGATGAACAAGACATAATAAAAGAAACAGCTATCTTTTTAAATAAGGAAAAATGCATTAATGACGACAATTATTTAAAAATTGCTAGGACAGAGAATCAAATATTAAAAGTGTATGAAGATAATTCCGATGTAATTGACAGAAGAAATAAAAATTTGGTTACAGAACCACTGAAAATGGAAACAGCTTCTAATAATATAAATAATAAGGAAGTAACTGAAATAATTCAAAGTGATAATGATATAAAAAATAATACGTGTTCAAATTCTGATGAGTGTATTATACAGAATAGAAATAATGATCAATATTCTAAAATAAATGATGTATCATCTCTTATAATTAATGATACTCAATCAAAAATTCAATATAATCTTTCAACAGATGAATGTGAAAAGATTGATGGTAAACAAAGTTTACCTCTTTCAAAATCTGCAGACGAGACTTTGGCGAACAGAAAAAGGTTGTCAACATTAGTATCCAATTCGAAAGTTACATTAAAAGGATCACCAGGTATGATTATTAATTTAACAGACGATGCAAAACCAAATATAAAAGGTGTAAATACCTTAATAGACAGATTTTTCTGTAAACATGTTAATTCAAAAAAACAAAGTGATGATAATTCCGAAGTATCTGTAGTACATTTACAAAACACGCAGAATGGTCTTCTTCCAATTAAAGAAATACTTCCGTACAAGATACCTGTTAACATCGATAATCCTGAATTGAATAAGCCTGGAGCCAAATTAATGCGTTTGAAGGAAGATCTGAAATTACAAATGATTTTAAAGCGTAACAATAAATGGAAACAGAAAGAAACAGAGCTGCAAACGGAGGAAGAAGAATGGAATAGAGAGGAAAAAAGTGATTATGAATTAGACGAACAAGAACAAGCTGAACTGCATTTTGAATTAAGTGATAGTGAAGAAAGTGAATTAGAAGAGAATGACGTCTGCATTAAAGATAAGAAAAAGCGTAAATGCCTATTCGCAGATGACGAAGCTGAAGTTACAACCAATGAAGATTCAAGTACAGAAGAGATCGACGACGATGTAAACGAAAAAAAAATAGAAACTGATCAAGAAGAAGATGATGGTGATGATGATGATGATGATGATGATGATGATGATGATGATGATGATAATGATGGAGATAAATATGAAAAAAAAGGAAAAGAAAATGAAGAAAGTTTAGATACAAATACAGAGAATGGAAATGAATCTGATTTTGAAGATGTTGATAATGTTGATACTTGTGAAAGCTTTAGCATTACTAAAAATGATAGAAAAACGAGAGAGTTAATAGAAGAGTTTCAAAACGATTCAAACGTTACAAATCCGAGCTATTTACAAAATGATAGCAGTCGATTAAGTATACCAACAAACATAAATGCATCTAAAATACATTGCGATGATATTGATTGGATAAGTGAAAATGAAAGCAGTATGCCTGGTTGTCAACAATATATAAAAGGTGCTACAAGAAGCCAGATATGTAAGACACCTTTGACGACAACAAGTATGTTGGATTTGGTTTCTCCTATAACGCAATTAAGCGTATTGAATACCACCTTAGAAAATGAAAAAGATTTATCGCCAAAAAAAGGAGGTTTACTTGATAAACATGAGTTCCTTTCTATGAAAGATACACAGAATGATGAATCTTCTGAACATACATGTAATGTAAAAAGTAAATCTGTTTTAAAAAAAAAACTGTTTGATGATATTGGAGAAACTGTTGATGATGAATATCTTATGCAATTATGTTCTGGTAAATTTGAATCTCCGCAAAAAACTGATATGAATTTATTTTTGCAATCTAATACCACTGAATTGCAGTTACGTTCAAATGAATCCGAATGTTCTAAAAATTTTAACGCAAAATTAGTTGCTGCTAAATCAAAAAATTCAAAAGATGAAATGCTTCAAAATATAAAATTGACGTTAGATGAAGATTCCAATAATTCTGTAAATCATGCAAAGAAAATAAATGAAGTTAGAGCAATGGATTTAAAATTAAAATTAAGAGTTATGTCTTCAGATGACGAGGATGATGATACATTTTTAAAACCCAAAAAACGTTTAGCCAAAATATTGGATTTGTCTGATTCGGAAGAAGAAAATTCTCAGTTTTTGGATGAAGAGGATGATATAAATAATGAAGAGGCAGAGGAACAATATGTTGATTACGATTCTGAGGAAAATGAAATGATAATTGTATCAGATAAGGATATGAAAAAAGTTGCAGCTGGTTTTGTGGAAGAAGAAGCAGAGTTAAGTGAAAGCGATTGGGATTCTGCTGATGAAGACGAGAAGAATATGGATAAATTAGAATTTGAAGAAGCTGATGATGAACACATAGATGAACACGAAGTGAAAGATCAATTGGAAAAAATCCATATAAAACAAATATTGGATGAAGATAAAAGAGAAGTGAGATTGCTTAAAGAATTATTATTTGAGGATGGCGATTTACATACTGATGGAATGGGACGTGAGCGGAAATTCAAATGGAAAAATATAGGTACAAAAATACATATATTATTTTTTTAATTTAACAAATGTAATTATGATAATATTTTAATGACAGAGATGACGATTATTAAAAAATTTTTCTTTTTTAAGATATTTTATAAGATACAATTTTCCAAAATGTAATATTTGATTCGCTCCAATGTGTACATGACTTTATAATTTGTTTAGATAAGTTAGGAAATAATATTGAGCTACCACAAACATCTGATGAAAACGAAGGTTGGGTGGATGTGCAAGAAGATGAGGAAGAAGCAAAGTGGAGTAAACTTAGAAATGAAAGAGACAAATTTCTTGAGGAAAGAATGGTATAAAATTATTGTGCGTAATTATGATCACATTTAAAGAATGTAGATATAAATGTATCTTATCTATTTACAGAAATGCTCAAATAATAAAATTGAAGATGAATTATGTCACAGTAAAATCTTTAAACTTGGACTGGAAGCTGTTAAGAAGATCAAAGATAATGAGTCACAAAGACGAGATGATTCTTCTCTTGATAAGCTAAATTCTTTGGAGGAAATAGAACCAATTATACCACGGAATATAACAGATCTTTTGAATGGACCAAATATTGGAAAGAAATCTCACGCGATACATGTAAGATTATTACTTTATTAATATTTATAAAAATATGACGTATAATGTCGCATTTTATTAGCAAATAAGCACGTGGAAAGTTATTGTTTATAAACGGCAATGGCCACGCATGAGTCGTATATGGCGTTGGATTTCCGCTTTGAGCTATGATTATTATTCTCCGTCTTTTTTTTTATTAAAACAAAATCTTTGAATGATACAAAAGGAAAACTTATTTTTGTATTGTATATGTATGTATTCGTACACATACACGCTTTGGCTGTCTTCACAAATTAATATTAATCTTATTAATTATTGCAAAAATTATAAAATGATACGGAGCTTTTCTATTCAATTTAATCCATTCTCCCTCTATGAGAGTTTAATCATTTGTCAGACACCCTATACATACATTATATGTATATATATGTATAGAATTACACTTATTACAAATAATTTATACAGAATGCTGTAAAAAGACGTTCGCTCTTAACTCGAGGAGAAGACTTGTTATCAAGGATAGCATCATTAGCAAAACAAGGTGACTCTGTCTCTCATGCAGTAAATGTAAAGAATTTTATCTTTCCGCATATTGATCAAGACACGAATAATACATTTAAAAAAGAGACCGAAACAGCAGATTTGGATTTACAAATTAAGGTATATAATTTTATTATATAATGTCAATATTATATAAAAATACTATTGTTGTACATGGCTCATTTACAACAATGATATATAATAGCTATAATATTTAAAAAAAAAAACTGCAGAAAAAGAAAGCAATCGCCAATGACATCGATCTAGACATATATGTATTATCAAGGTCATGATCTTGAGTAACCTCTAAGTTTTAGCCTAAGTTTTCGCTTATTAAAAAGTTATTAACAAAATAAGCTTTGCTATATAAAACAAAAATTCTCGATTTTAAAATAAATTTTAAAACCAAAATTTTTTGGAACATTATTTTTTTAAATATAATTTTTGTTTTTAAAACTGAGAATTTTTGTTTTGTATAGCAAGACTTATTTTGTTGATAACTTTTTAACGAATAAAGAGCGATGTTTAAAACATGCTGCAGGTTACTCAGGGTCAGAGGTGGATGTAGGGTCAATTAAAGTTGGTTCGCACGGAAAGTCGTGTGCACCCGTAGCAGAAAGAAGTGGGATAAAAGTCGCTTCGCGTAAAAGGTCGTGCTCTCTTAGTCTGTTTACCCTATACCTCCCCCCGTTTAGAATTATCCTTTCACGACTTTTCACGCAAAATAGTTATCAACTTTTTTGTTAATAACTTTTTAACGAATAACGAACAATGGCTAAAACTTGTTAGAAGTTACTCTGTATCATGAACTTGACAACATAGGTCAAGATCAAGGTCATCGGCGATCGCTACCCTTTTCTGCAATTTTACCCATTTCAAAATAAAAATCACAAAATTTTAACAATTCAAATATTTAAACACATTTTCTGGATAATTTCATTTCTTAATTTGTATGTAACATATAAGTAACATATTTTCCATTTATTTAATTTTTATATGCTACTATTGAAAAAAAATGTAAATTTTTTACGATTCCTTTTTGCAGCCTGGAAAAAGAAAGATGAATTCAAATATATCATCGACATTGAAAAAAAGGCGAAAATAAAACTATTCTTCATATAAAAAAAATAATTATTTTATTTATATATAATATGTAAAGACTTTTACAAGTAATATTTTAATATAAATTTTATATGTATACAGAGAGAGAGAGAAAGATAAAGTGATAGAAAGTGCCTTACTTCTTATGTATAAATAGCAAATATAACTGTTGTAGCAAAAGAGGAATTTCTTTATGAAAAATTTCTTTTCTTTTTTACGAAAAAGATTGTTTCTTCTTTTGATATTAATCTTATTTATTTATAAAAGTTTTTAGTATGTTTTTTTATACATTTTTAAATTACATTCTTAAATTTTTCCTTCGGTAATATGTATCTTTGAAAGTATAATAGATTTATTATATTAGATTTGTATTTTATTATAATTATACAATAGTACAATCACAGATATACAGATGAGGCATCTAAAACAAGTCACTTAAATAACTCGTTTGTTTTTGATGATACAAAAAAATGTTTTAGATGAAAGTGGAACGGTTTCGAGACGTGTTTTGGCCATGTTGTTTTTTGTCTAGGTGGAGGCATCAAAAAGATATGAAGGTTACCTTCACTTTTTTAAATGGAATTACGTGACTTTTTTTTACATAATATGATTTCTTTAATAATTTTGCATATAAAAGTATGAAGACATAGGTAGATATAAAAAAAACCAAGTTTACGAAATATTTAATATTTTATATCAACATATGTCAGAATAAAATATAAAATATCTTGTAGACTATTAATTTTTTTATAATCATATTTTAATATTATACTTTTATGAACGGAATAATGAAACAGATCAAATGGTGTAAAAAAAAACACACATACTTAGTTGCTTCAAAAAGAATATGTAGACAAAATTGATAAATTTTTAAATAAGCAACTATGTGTTTTAGATATCTCACCCTGTATATGTGTATACAGTACATTTACGATTGCAACTTTATAGTACATGAGAAAAGAGACCGATATGTAAATGACGTACGTACAACAAAGACCACCACTTGAGTCGTAAAAATTTTGAAAGGTCAAACACTTTTAGTTTTGTTAGTTAACTGTGTTTTGAGCAGTCACAAAAGAAGTGAGAATAAAGGATGAGAGAGAAAGAGAGAGAGAGAGAGAGAGAGAGGCGCTTGTAAACTGAACACATTATGTTACTTCCATCATGGACGACAATACCTAAAGAAACTGATCAATTGACCAATTGATTGAATTGTTCAATTGTAATTTATTAATTTTCTCTTTATCTAATACTTCAAAGATCCGAGACCTCGTCCAAGTGGACTAAAGTAGAGAACCAATCAGAAATGTAAAAAATAAGCAACGATGCTAAAAAAATATCAGGGCAAAAAATATTCTGGATTTGGACTGAGGCTTGGTCTCTTCTCCATGTTGGTAAACTTTCGTCCTTGCCACTGATACAGTCCTGATGCTGATAACTTCTAGGTCGCGCAAGTGTCAGCATACCATGTTCCAAATGTATTATACTATTTACCAAGAAATTTTAATAATTTTTTTTGCAAAATTTTTTATAATAAAATATAATCTAAACTTCTAGTAAAACATGCGATTTCACAAGTATACACAAGATTTTTTCAGATTTTTATACAATTCAGAGCAATTAAAAAATCAGATGTTGACCTCAACATTTTTTTTTGAAAAAGCAAGCAAAAAGTGAAAATTCACATTACCGATGAAGGATTAAATTCGTAATCGTAATTATGATTAGTTTTAGAACAAATGACAGAAACAAAGTATTTATACCACAGATAAAATAGAAACTAAGATCAAGAAACGAAAAACGAATGTCTTCAAATCTCAATTCTCTTTCTTTAAAGATTTGTTCTATTACATTTTGTGTGTGTGTGTGTGTATGTGTGTGTGTGTGTGTATCTTTCTCTGTAAGAAATATAACTATATATAACTCTGCAGGAAATTTAACGATGTTTAAAATATAACGAACGTATAACAGTAATCGTTTTTCTAATAATGAAAAACATCTTGCAAAATATTTTACAATTTTTTGAGTTTGCACACTTGATTATAATACAAATTTGCGACTCTTTCGACACACCGTTTTTTAGTATTGAAAATTTGGATTATCCGTTTGCCATCCTTTCGCATTTGGTCCAAATTGATACACCAATCTGCGACCAAGTACTGGTAGAAATATTTTGCTCTTGTAATAGTACCTAAAAAACATTATTTTGTGAAATATTAATATAATAATATGTATGTGTGTACATATATACAGGATATCTGGAATTTAAATGTCAAAACTTCGGGAGTGTGTAATTTGATTGATAAACTAAGAAAGAAAATCCTATAAAAATATACTTGGTTTTGCTTCGTTTTGGATAAAATCGCAAAAAAGACAAAATGTAATTGCTTCGTTCTTGAATGTCAAATTGTGTCACCCCGATCTGATCCTGACACCACTAGACTTCTTTGTGTGGAGAGTCCTAAAGTAGAAAGATTATTTGTTATCAATCAACTGAAAAAAACAATTGAGAAATCGAATTGAAGCTGCTGTGCACTAAAATCACCAGATCAGTGTTTGGCTGCAACATAAGATGTCCGTACTGATGATATGCTTGCATTTCTGCAAGAGGCCAACATTTTAAACAATATCTACATTAAGAAAGTGAATAAATACAACATGAATAAGTAATAAAAAAAATATAAAAACAAAAACTACGTTTTGTCTTTCTTGATTTTCTCTAGAACAAAGCAAAAATTAGCATATCTCTACAAGACTGTTTTTCTTAGTTTATCAATCTTCTACATGTTCCTTAAGTTTCGACATTTAAATTCCGGACACTCTAGCCCGTATTCAGAACGCGCTAACATGCTATTAGTAGGGGAGGCCAAGCGGGGATTTTGGGATTTACTCGAGCGCGTCAGAATAACATAAAGGGGGAAAGCTTGCACCCTAATAAGTACCCCCACCAAATATTAAACCTCTATATAGAGCCGGGGGTCCAGGGGATTAGTAAATAAAAAAAATCGATCGTTCGAAAACTCGAGCGCGTCAGATTAAGGTATGGTGTGTTAATTACATGTAGAAAAGTGTACATTTCAAAAATCTGACGTGCTCGAGAAAATTTTTTTTTTTCTCCTTTTTTTGACCCTTTCCTACAGCTAACCCCACCACGTAAACCGTCAGATTAATATTTATCCGTTATCAGAAACACATGGGTCGCTTACATTATTAATATCTGACACGCTCGAGTATTTCATTGTCACTGTTTTTTTTGAAAGCCTATACACGCTCTCCCCATCACTGAAACGGCATACATCATATAACCTTTTTTTCTTTTTAGCATCTAATCTTCACAATCCAATAGGTCCCCACGACGCTCGAGTGAATCCACATTTAGCCTCTCGGCCTCCCCTACTATATAGTTTACGTCACGTATACTATAGAATTCCAGAGATAAAAGCGCGCTTTTATCGATATAAGTACGTTCTGAATACGGATCTCTGTACATGTATGTACACACTACCATATATATGCACACACACGCACACAAATATATTTAAATTCTTTCACAACATATTAAATATTTTATTATTTATTATTACCTCATAGCTCGACTGAGTTTTTCATAAGTCATTTTTGTATTTCCTTTCCGTGAACCCCACCGTTTTGCCACTTCGTCACTTTTTACGAAGCGAAATTTGGCTTGTGAATAATCATCCCAGCAGATTAAACTTGGACATGTTTCTCTATTACGTAATAAATCTCTAATAAATTCCCATAATTTTCCTTGACTCGCGGCTGTAAAAATGCAGTTAAATCATATAATTCAGTGAATATACATTTAATATTACATATATTTTTGGTAAATATAAAGAAGGACCCGCTCTTCTCAAATTTTGATAAAAATATACTCAATCGATGCGTTCTTGCTTGAAACGAAAGAATCTGGCAGAAAAAGATGTCGCTCTGCCCTTATACGAATCGAGATATTAAGCGTTAAAGTTGACGACTATTCAAGTTAAGAAATCTGTCATACCTTCTTCTTCTTCTACATTTGG